AGTTTCATCCAAAACCAGTTTGTTCTCCTCAGCGCAGACATAACGAAGGGTGTGGCTGGCCGTTTTAGTTTGACTAAAGGCAGGCATTCATCTTCTCACAAGACACTCCCCCTCAGGTGGAACTACAGAAAAACCTATAGGATTACTGTACTGTACATCTGTACATCATCCATTTAGATAAAACATAGAAATGTGTATAAGAAAAATATTCTAACTTGTGTTTTGTGTTTTAAATCTCGGTTTATTCTCATCCTTAAAGACCAGCACCGTTCAACAAACACCACATTCTAACGTTCTAATGCTGACAGTCTTTCATACTGTTCTCAAATAAGATGGACATCCTTGAACCATGTGAATGGGGAAACATTCTAGAACAGAGAATGGGGAGAACATTCTAGAACCGTTTGAACAGAGGAGAAAGTTTTAAAACTGTGATGGAAGATCCATGTGAATGGAGGAGAACGGTCTAGAACAGCATGAAGGATACAATTCTAGAACCATATAAATGGAAGAGAACATTCTAGAACAGTGTGAATGAGAAGAACATTCTACAGCAAAGTGAACAAGAAGAACATACTACAGAGGAGAAAGTTCTAAAACTAAGATGGGAGAGAACATCCTAGGACCCTGTGAATGGAGAAGAACACTCTAGAAAAGCATAAATCATGCATGAAAGCATGAATCAATGATAACATTCTAGAACATTGTGAATAGAGGAGAACAGTCTAGAACAGTGTGAACAGTTCTAGACGGTGTGAGGAAGAAGTTCTGAAACTGTGATGAAAGGGAACCATGCGGCACATGTACCAGGGTATTATAATATTCCATAAAATATAACCAAGTGAACAAGGAGAACATATAATTCTAGAACAGTGTGAATGGGAAGAACATACCGAAACAAAGAAGACAGTGTAAATGGAGAACAGTCTAGCAGAGCATGTATCAAGGATAACATTCTAGAACAGTGTGAATAGGAAGAATATTCTAGAACAGAGTGAATGGGGGAGAACATTCTTGAACCATGTGAATGGAAAAACATTCCAAAACAGTGTGATTGGCAGGAACATTCTAGAACAGTGTGAACAGCCCTAGACAGTGTGAGGAGAAAGTTCTGAAACTGTGATGAAAGGGAACCATGTGCCATATGTGCCAAGGAAACTCTACCATGCAAATGGAGAACATTCTAGAACTGTCTGAATGGGAAGAACATGCTAAAACAAAGGAGAGAGTGTAAATGGAGAACATGAATCAATTATAACTCTCTAGAACAATGTGAATGGGGAGAAAATTCTAGAGCAGTGTGGACAGAGGAACATGTTCTAAAACTGTGAATGGAGAACAGTGGAACAGTTTGACAGTGTTTGTTGAAGTTTGGGCTGGTGTGCTCTTGGCTTTACTGGGTACTTATTCTTTCATTTTAAATGCACAATTTATCTATTCAAAAACAAAATGAACACAGATGTACTCTTCTGACTTCAGTTCTGGACATTTATGTTCTGGCATTTATTGATTTCCTTTGCACACTCTGCTCTTTTTATGTTCAACCATCACTATCAAAGAATATGAAGCACTTCTAAGCCCCGGTCAGAGCTGTAATACTGTAATGATGTGTTTTATTTGGTGCTGCTTTATGTCCTCGTTCAACATGTCACATCTGATGACCGCACTGGAAGAGCCTAACCCACTCGCCCCAGTAGTTTCTCCTCTTCTATGTGTTTTTTACATTCTTCATTTGAGAAGTAGGTCATCCTCCAGTCCACTCCTTAGATGTGCCAGTCTTAAATTAGCTCCTTACTTCTTAAATTGTTAAATGGTTCAAAGCTATAGTTTATTTCAGGTCAGATTTTACAAAGCTGAACTTAGCTTAGCATTCAGCTTCTGTTCCTAACTGTGACAGCAGCTTGTCCCATTAAAGAGTAGTGACAGTAAATCATTTCAAAATGCTTATTCAGAGGTTTTCAAGAAACGACCGGCCGACGTGTTTTGATGGGCAAGTCAGTACTGCTGCTATCACTGTCATTAAAGCAGTTCGTTTGCATGATCAGTACAAGTTCTAAGGTTGACATATTTTGTGGACAGTTTTTGTTGCATCTGTCATCATGTTCGGAACAGAGAGAGGCTTTATTCTAAACTGTAAAACCATTCTGCACACAAAGGCCCCATACAGGAACCCTGAACAGCATGGAGTTATCATTGTGCCAAAGTCCTAATATTTATTTGTCCATCTTCATCCCAGCTTAGTCATAGACAAGTCCCAAACACCACCAATCTGAGAGGCTTTGCTTTGATCCGTAAACCTCCCGCTGGCACGTCTAAGCTACCAGCAAACTGGCATTGTCAAATACCTCAGCGTGCTCAAAAGGAGAAGCTAATCGCTTTAGCGCACCACGGTGATGTCCAGTTGGCACCTGTTTGAGAACGGTACAGCTTGAAACTAGATACTCTTACATTGTGGCTCCCTCTGGGTGGCTCACTGGTAGTGGCTGGAGTATGGTAGGTACCCATTAGCAGGAGTGGGAAAAAGTACAAAGTAAAATCCAGCACACAGTCACTTGTGCTGGTATTTGCAGATAAGTGAACATTTATGTACAAAATGTAAGCCAATATCTGGGCAGAGGATACAACCTTTACTAAGAAATGAACTACTAGGCTGCTTATATACCACCTCTGTATTCTTGATGTGGGATTTGTTCCTCACATTTCCTTTGCAGAACACTTCTAGTTCAGAAATATTCTTAGGTCGTCTTGCGTGAGCAGCATCTAAAACCTTAATCTTTTGTTTCTTTAAGTAATTCGAGATTGATTTTAATGTGTCTTGGATCATTGTCTTGTTATACTGTGCAACCTCTTTTCATCTTCAGTTTCTTCACTGACTGTGGTGACATTTGCTTCCAGGTATTTAATAGAATCCACCCAATGCTTAACAGTTGACAAGGTGTTCTTTTCATCAAATACTGCTTCTTTTTTTCTAGACATACCCTCAGTGATTGTAGCCAAATAGTTTATTTTTTGTTTCATCAGACCACAGAACTTACATTCAAAATGCCTCTCATGTTTGTGCAACAACACTGCACAGTTGGCCAATCAGGAGGCCTTTTGCAGTGATGTGAGGGTTTTGCTTTGCATACCTGACCATCTATGAGCAGGTCTATTAGAAAATTATCTTGGTCTTCTAAATCTTGTCTTGTCAGTTCTCCATAATGTCCATTTCTTAATGGCATTTCAGACAGTGAAACCTGTAGGCAGGAATGTTTACACATCTTTTTATATCCTTCTCTTCTTTTGTAAGAGTCAGTTATCTTTAGTTTTAGATTCTAAGTCAGCTGCTTGATTAGCTCATGGCCATTCGGACAGCATGAGACAGATTGGGCAATACTTCAAACTAATATTTGATGTCATACTTACAGTACTCCGGAAGAGCAGAATGTTAAGAGAATGCTGAGTACTGTGCGAAAATGTCTACATTTTATTTATTTTACTGCATTTGTAACCCTACAGAAATAAATGTTATATTTCTCTGTAATGTTAATGCGGGTAGATCTAGTCACAAATTCTACATTTTATAAATGTTTATATATTGCATTGTATATTGTACATGCACCGACATTATAGATCTATACATGAAAAATATCACATTTTGGCATCCACCCACAACTCCCATATAGGTGCATCCCATTCTGTGGCTCATTTCTGCTGGATTATTCAATGACCTGGATGACTGAAGACCTTCAGAAACATGACCAAATCTTAATAATTCAGCAACAATCAAACTTCAAGATCATTCAAAGACTCCTGCGCTGTCAAAACTCTAAAATGCACCTTTAAACTCAGAAGCAGAAGTGGACAAGGTCTCCTCCAGTTGGCCAAACAACTCAATTTAGCACTGGCTTATGAGGTTCATCCACAGGACATCACAACTGAATTATGTGCCTTAGTCCTACAGTGGCCCGCTGAGTCATATCAAAACACCATTTACGAAGCAAACAAAAGCTGTGAAGACAACAGCAAATACAGCCCAAAATACAAAAGTGAGAATGCAAATACAAAAGAGGGAAAGCAACTACATTACCAGAAATTAAGCATTTTAAAAACACTGCATTTGTAAAAAAGATAAACACGTACCAAAACATTATGAGACAAATTTACTGGCAAATACTGATGATTCCATGGCTGACTGATCTTCAAATACATACACATCCCACATATGGAAACCGTCGGCCTCTCGTAGCCGAGAGCATTTCTGGTGTGAGCGTCCCTTGTACACAGCATTTTTGAAAATGTTGTGTTTCAGTTAATGCTGTTGTGTCCTGGCTTGAAGTTTCAATGCTGTGAGTTTTTTGTTTTCTACAAATGCAGCATTTTTCAAACACTTCATTTCTGGTAATGTATTTGCTTTCTCACTTTTGTATTTGTGTTTACATTCTTCCTTAATGCTGTTGTGTTCTCAGCTTTTGTTTGCTTCATAAATGATGTTGTGATATGACTGATCGCCATTGTATAGTCCAGACAGGGGGTCATTTACTGCTGGTACTCTAGTAGCATTATAGTTTAAATTAAATATAATTTAATTTGGCATGAAACTAGGGCCTCCCAATGAGAACACCTCCACAAGTTCTTCTCAACACTAACCCTCAGAGACCCTATTTAGTGAAGGCAGTGCATCCTTTCTTTACCTGAAGTTATGTAGGTTTAAGTTGAGAGCGTTCCTTGGTCACTTGGCTGTCTCATGACCCAGAACTGGCCTTTTTGCACTGCTGATGGCCTGGTTTGCAGCAACATAGGTCCTCCATGTGTTACTAACTTTAGAAACTAATTAAAATTAAAATTCTATACACTTGACATTATCATAGAAAAATAACTGTGACTAAATGAATTAAAACACATCATTAAAATAAAAATAAAGAAATCACTACATATTTATGTATTTCTAATTTTATTCTCATGTTCAAATATACACTCACAAGCCACTTTATTAGGAACACAGATACCTGTTTGGTCATGCAATTATCAGCCAATCATGAGGCGACAGAGCAATGCATAAAATCATGCAGCCATGGGTCAAGAGTTCTGACAGAGTGAACAAACAAAAAACGTCCAGTGAGTGGCAGATATGTGGGTGGAAATGCCATGTTGACGAGAGAGGTCAAAGGAGAATAGCCAGACTTGTCTGATTTGACCCAAAAGCTACAGTAACTTAAACAGTCATTCTTTACAACAGTGGTGATCAGAAAAGCATCTTGCACAACATTAATGCACAACATTTTGAACTTTGAGGTGGATGGGCTACAACAGCAGATTACATTAGGTTCCTGTCAGCTACAGTGCTGCAGTGGGCACAGGCTCACCAAAACTGGACAGTTGAAACTGGACATACACCACCTAGTCTGATGAAACTTTATTTGTGCTAAGGCACACAGATCACAGGTCAGAATTTGGCAAAAACAACACAAATCAATGGACCCAACCTGTTTGTGTCAACAGTTCAAGTTGGTGAGGGTATAATAAAATGCGGAATGTTTTCTAGACACTTTGGGCCCCATACTACCAATCAAGCACTGTTTGAATGCCAAAGCCATGCCATGGTTGCAGACCATGTGTATCCTTTTATGGCCACAATTTACACATCTACTTATGGCTACTTCCAGCATAATAATGTGCCTTGTCACAAAGCAAAACTAGTTCTATGAACATGAAAATGATTTTAGTGTATGTCAGTAGCCTCCCCAGTCACCAGATTTTAATTCAATACAGCACCTTTTGGTAGAACAGGAGATTCACAGCATAAATACGCAGCAGACAAATAATTTACATGATGCAATTTTGTCAACATGAAGCAGAATCTCTAATGAATGTTTGGTGCACCTGTTGAATCAAGGCCACAAAAAAAGCAAAGAGAGTCCTACCCATTATTAGAACAGTGTTTTTAATAAAGTGGCAGGTGAGTGTATATGTTTGAGATACTATTATCTTTCCTTCTAGTGGACACTGACAACATACCTCTATTTAGCTATGCAGTTAATATTGGTCTAGAGTGGTGACCTATTGCTTGATCTGCTACACAAGAATCTCTAAACCACACAAGAAAAATGCTTTTGTCAAATATCTGATATTTGCTTCTTATTACAGTATTGAAGACAATATTTACAAAAAATTAAAACATGATACGTAGTTGAGCTTAATAAATAAAGACAAAATTTTAATAGACAAAAAACATTACACAGTAGTAGGCTCAAGTAGATGCTCAAATATGAGTCAAAATCATAAAGTAGAATGTCACACATAAACATACTTTATTTACATGTTCATATGTTGAATAATATCACCTCTCTGAAGCTGAACAAGATATCTCTGGGCCACAGGAAAGGCATTTCTCTCCAGAAAGGCATCCTGCAGAGGAAAAGAAATTATCATCTCAGTACCATTTCAAAGTAGCTTTTAGGGCTGCATAATATGTCAGTGGGCAATAAATTATTTGATGATAAATGGGAATATTTGTCAGCCTCTTTCTGCTTGTTTACTGACGCAAGTATAGTGTCATTCTGATGCTGCAGAATGAAAAAGAATGAAGATCTCCATTTGCAATTTCAGCAGAGGAAAACAGACTCTTGCAACAAATGTTCAGTGAAGGTACAGCGAGGGGGGAAAAACTGACTTTCAATAACGCTAATTTAATTACTCAACTGAAAACTCGTAGTTCTGCCAGTCTACATAGCCTGAAGAGTACAGTGCAGCAGGCATTAGCGACTAGCATCTTCAGAGTTTTAATCTGTCTTATGCTCGCTGCACATTTATTAAATATTGGCACCCCTGGTAAACATGAGCAAAACAGACTGTAAAAACATTCCTTATTGCTGCTTAACCTTTTTTATCTTTCATTCAAAATATTAACAAAAATCTCACCTTTATTTGAAGACTGATGGAAAAAAAAATTAAATGTTATAAGGAAATAAATACGTTTGTATGTGCCACAGTTGTTGGCACCCTTTCATTTAATACTTTGTGCAGCCTTCCTTTGCAAAGATAACAGCTCTGATTTCTCTCCTGTAATGCTTAATGAGACAGAACACATAGCAAAGGATCTGAGATTATTCCTCCATACAGAACCTCTCCAGATCCTTCAGATTCTGAGGTCCACACTGTGGACTCTCCTCTTCAGTCTGTGTCTGTGATACCATGTATCCAAATAAATTCTCCAGGGCCTTTGGAAGAATAACAGCCCCACACGATCACAGATCCACCACCATACTTCACAGTGGGGAACTTTGTTGGTCCTTGACAACAGAGTTTTTCTTCTGGCAACCCTCACAAAACAACTTGTGCTTATATAGGTGGTGTTTGATTGTAGTTTGGGACACATTCTGACTCCCAAGACCTGACTAATGTATGCAGTTCCCCATCTGTGATCCTTGGAGATTCTTTGTCCACTTGAACGATCCTTCTCACTGTGCATGGGGTCACTATGGACATATGTCGTCTTCCCAGGAGATTCTTAACATCTCCCGTTCTTTTAAGCTTCTTAAATTATCGCCCTGATAGTGGAAATGGGCATTTTCAACTCTTCATCTTCTTGTAGCCATTTTCTAATTTGTGCAGCTCCACAACCTTTTGTCACACATCATTGCTTTCTCATTGTTTTCTCTGGTCTTTCTCATGGCAATGGATGTCTGAGGGAATATGGTCTATGTTTCATCTAATACATATTCCCTAGTAAAACAAGTCATGGCTGACCATTAAAGTGTTCCTTATCACTCAGATGAACGTAAAAACATAAACTGTGGAAAAATATTTATTTCATGACACAATTTGTTTTTTTTTTCTATTATTATACCTTGAATAAAGGTTAGGGTATTTTGCTAATATTGTGAATGAAAAATCAAAAGGGTAAGTAATTAAGAATATTACACAAGCATAACAAGCATAAAAAACCTCTAATAGCATGCTAATGTCTCGGTAGCTAGCTAGCTAACTTTCCCATTCCACCTTAAATAGTCCAGCAGTTCTGACGCCTGAAGCGCCAGAATGTAACTGCTGCACCATTTAAAGTGGAACGGGAAAATTTGAGTGAGAAGCTGATGAATAGCTGACTTCAGCTTCATATCACCAAAGAATTAGCGGTGGGCGGTAATAAATAATTGTCTTTTACCCCCTCTTTGAAAGCATATGATGCCCTAAAAGTAACTAAAGCCCAGCAGTGAGGTCGCTGAACTTTTCCCTTCTCTGCTATCGCTGAAGACGGGCTGGGTCGCCTGCCGAGCAGCGCTAGTAGCCTTAATGGAGCAGTGTTTTTTTTTTTTCTTTTAAATTTGAGGGTTGTCCCATTTCGTAGGGCAAGATTTCAACCACTACCCCTTGTAACTCAGTTCCAAGGGGTTAGGGTGACACTCAAAAACAAGGGGTAGGGGTAAAAAGAAGAAACAGGATTGGGCCTTTTATTAACGTTAACCTCTTTACATTAACTTGCATTCAAAGTTATGGCCTCTTTGCCCTCTCCTGTAAAGTTACTATTTTGGAGATACATATTTTTCTTTGGACAGCAGCAATATATATTTCTTTAGATTTTGTCTCTTGTGAGGTGTGCAGTGTTTTTTTTTCAGGTGCTTGGAGTGTCATAGTTCCTTGAGAAAGGTATTGTGGCTTGAGATAATGGACTTGCTCATCTTACCAGACATGGAACTAGAACTGGGTTCTTCATCATTGTGGAACTGGGTGAAAGGTGATTTTGTGAATGTTATTCGCAAACCTTTGAGGCCTTTGTCCAGACGGACAGTGACTGTTGCAGATATCATTAGAGTATGAGCAGTTTTATGCATAGTTTGTCTAACTGATATATGATGAGCATAACAGCTTTGTCTGAGTCAAAGTGCCAGGGGAAGACGTGTAAAGGTGCTCTCATCCCCTCACCCTCACTCATTCCTTTTGTCTTTCTTTCTTTCTTTTTTGAGATGATTTTTCTCTATTTTATTCATTCTCCTCCTTCTTTATGTTCCTGTAATTCTGTAAAGCATTTTATTACATTTTATAATTTCTATATTTACATTCCAATTTGTGGTCTTCTCTTTTAACTTTTTGGGGGACATCATATCACAGAAACTATTAATGGTATTTGTCTTACATTTCTAAATTTCTATATTAATCTTGCTTTGGTAAATAACCCAAGATACCAGTTCCCAGTCACAACCTGACCACAAGTCTAGGTATGTGAACGCCGATATTCGATGTCTGAGTTTGAAGGCTAGCACTGAATGTTTTTAAAATACAGGCAATATATTAAAATACAGGCTAGTATATTGCATAAGAACAAGGAAAAGGTCATCAAGGCTACAGATAGAACTTAAGCCTATATTCTGAGTTAGGCAAAGTGGACACCTATGCACTCCCTGGGGAAGTCTGTAAGATATCATAATTTTGACAATCAGTACTATGTACTGGTTAACATTTACAGTATGTAAAAATGTGAATGAGCGTTCAAAAACATTTTCATGCCTAGATGGGCTTAATTGTCCATTACCTTGGCCCTCCTTCGGAGATAGTCCCTGCGATTATGTAGCATTTTAGTACAGCGCACAATCACCTCGGCCTCCCTCCCAGACAAGTACGGTAACGCAGAAATGATCTGAAAGCACATAAACGCATGTGTTATTCACTGTGTTGTTTCCATATGTGTGTGTGTGATATATATATATATATATATATATAATATATATATATATATATAAGCATATTAGAGAGTGATTATACAGCATGGGTTTATATGCATGACAATTATATATAACCTTTGCTGTAATTGGGCCCCATTCGATGTTTCTGCTGTAGCATGCCCTCTGCCAAACCTGAAACTGTGTCAGTATCTCTCTCGCCACCACCTGTATTTAGAAACAAATCACAAATACAATACATTTACCACTATTCAGCAGCACCAAAAATACATTTCAATAAGGTAACAAAAGCATTTTAAAAGGAGCACTTACACTGAATGTTCTCTGTCTGCTCATGGGGTGCACTTTGACCAGTTCTGCTGGAGGGTTTAGAGGAGGTTTTTGGGGCAGCTGCAACACATACACAAAACGGAATCAGTACTCTGGCTCCTTTCTAATTTAGTTCACTACAGAACACACAGGTTTTCAAAGGTTTAGTCTTTGTACAAAGAATATTGCCTCCATATGAAATAGCATGTCTTGAACCTACTTAATACAAAGTTGTGTACGTTTCAATAAGTTATGACTGTATATTTGTGAGAAAGTGTGAGAAACCATGATTACTTATGATGTAAGAAATGTGTTTCTCTAACAGAATGGAGAAGACAGGAGGCAGCAGTAAGATGAAATGGCTTTATTTATAAATGTATGAAGGCTTAGTCAGCGATGACTCTCAAATAAAATCTCAAATAAGACACACCAGATCAACTGAATGAATTGAATTTAAATGCTCAGAATGCAGCAGCACCTCCTACTGCTGAGATTCAGTTACACAACCGACAGTGTTTACATGGCTGTGTATGCGGGCCCTCATGACTAAAAATACTAAGTTCATTTTAGATTGTTCAGAAGTGCTTTAACAAGAATAATATGGGAGTTTTTGAAACATGCACTTTCATTCTGCTTCTTTGGTTCATTAAAGGCAGTATCTCCAATGAGCTTTAAAATACCATACACATCTTACTAGGCAGTTTATATCAATACCAAGTAACATTAGGCACTGAAAAACAAAAAGGGAATGTGAATATGTACCAGCAAATATTGGACTGCTTCTGTATAAAACACCAAGCCTGTGATCAAATTTAAAATACAGAAGAATTTGTATATGTTTTGTATCATGAAAGACAAGACAGGATATGCCAATATTCTAATATTTGGTGTCATTTGCTGTGGTATTCAGCCCAAGTTCAGTCAAAACATAATATAATCTGATTAACTATTAGTTATTATATGAAGATGAATTGTAAGTAAACCTATGGATATCCTGGAATGGGCTTTTTTCTTTGACTTAAACTGAATGGGGATATACTGATTCTGTTTGTGAGGATACAGTGATCATGATGACTGATTTTGCATTCTAGAACTAATTCTGGTCTCTTCTTCTTCCACAGCAAGTTTATGTTACTGACACTTTAGTCATTTTATATATAATGTACTTCTAAAAGGACACCTAGACTGATATATGCATGGCTCCACTATTCCATAGCAGCTCTGATGCTGTCAGGCCCAGCTAGTCTAAAGAGTGACAGAACTTTTTTAAACTGTATTACCTAAGCTACAAAATGTTTATAAAAGGATTTTTTGGTTCAATACAGTAACGGTCTAAGCAAGTGTGTCAGCTAATGCAGTAACTAAACACAGAGCTGCTGGATCCCCACCTGTATTTATTTCCAAAAAATATTTCAGGCAACTTAAAATGGAGTGCAGGAATAAGTATGTTCTGCCTACAAGACAGCACAGTCCATTTAACACAGCCGTACTGTTAGAACTGCTTATAGTTAATGGGATTACATTTTTAAGCAAAACACAATCCAAAAAAGCAAGCTGACATATCAGAAACTCACTTTAATCGAAATGTAGTTTTAGCATGATCCAGCATGTGTTAATTTCATGTCTTGGTTCCCAAGCTAGTTTAGCATCAACTCCTAATGAAACCTTAAACCTTTAAGCAGCATGTACACTGAACAGCCATAACATTAAAACCACCTCATACATTAACTGTCCATTTTATCAGTTCCACTTACTATATAGGTGCACTTTGTAGTTCTACAATTACAGACTGTGGTCCATCTGTTTCTTTGCTAACTTTGTTAGCCCCCTTTTACCCTGTTCTTCAATGGTCAGGACCCCCACAGGACCACCACAGAGCAGGCATTATTTAGGTGGTGGGTCATTCTCAGCACTGCAGTAACACTGATGTGGGTTTGGTGTGTTAGTGTGTGTTGTGCTGGTCTGAGTGGATCAGACACAGCAGTGCTGCTGGAGTTTTTTAACACCTCAGTGTCACTGCTGGACTGAGAATAGTCCACCAACCAAAAATATCCAGCCTACAGCATCCTGGGACCACTGATGACGGACTAGAGGATGACCAACACAAACTGTGTAGCAAGAGATGAGCTATCGTCTCTGACTTTACATCTACAAGGTGGACCTACAAGGTAGGACTGTCCAATAGAGTTAGCGGACACAGTGTTTAAAAACTGCAGCAGCACTGCCGTGTCTCATCCACTCATACCAGCACAACACACACTACCATGCCACCACCACGTCAGTGTCACTGCAGTGCTGAGAATGATCCACCACTCAAATAATACCTACTCTATGGGGGTCCTGATCACTGAAGAACAGGGTTAAAGGGGGTTAACAAAGTATGCAGAGAAACAGATGGACTACAGTCTGTAATTGTAGAACTACAAAGTGCACCTATATAGTAAGTGGAGCTTATAAAATGGACAATGAGCACAGAAACAAGGAAGTGGTATTACTGTTATGGCTGTTCAGCGTATATTCTAACATTTTTTGGGGTTAGATTATTAGCCCGGTCTGTCCAGTCCTTTAGGCTTCTAGTCTCATTAGTGTTCCTGCTCATACACTTGTACACTGTTTTCAGCTTAAGATGAACTTGTTAATTACAAAATGATATGACTGAGGTGCATAAAAACATGAAACTGTGCAGAACAGATAACCTACAGGACTGGAGCTGGAATCCCACCCCATCATCCCAAATCTAAATATGAGTTTGTGAATAAATGAGTCGCAAGCAAGGTTCACAACAAGCTTCCCCACAACCTGGTTGTGTCCAAAACCATTTACTTTTATGAAATTAACATGTTAACTTAGAAACCCACAGGACAACTGACTATCAAAAAGATAACATGCAACACCAAATAAAAAATAATCAAACTATCAAGCTGGAAATATTTAAAAGAAAACTATTTCTCTATCCTGTAGGGCAGTGATCCGCCATAAGGAATCATTTAAAAAAAAAGTGTATCTGATCGTACATATCACATCGTACATCGTACATATAAGACATAGAGTCATATGCAAAATTTTGGTTGTCCCTGGTCAAATTACATGTTTTGTTGATGTAAAAAATAAGTTACAGAGTACACACTTCAGCACATTTTAATGCACAGTTACTGTTTATTTACTCAATTTAACATATTGGAAAAAAATAATACAATATAGAATGTGGCTGGTGCAAAAGTTGGCACATTTTTGTTTTTTCCAATATATTACACTCTTATAAATAAGAATTGTGCACTAACATGTTCAGATAAAATGCCATACTCATGTTTGTTCCCTGTAGGGGAAGTGTTAACTTTTTTTCACTTAAAAAATCAACATGAAATTTGACCAGGGGTGTTCAAAACTTTGCACATAACATGTCACGTAATCAACTAAAATTCTTTAGTTATCATTATATTGTTAAAAATGAACTTTGCAAAACTGGCTCTGGGTGCTTTGTGGTGAATGCTCACAAAAGCTCTCTGAACTGCAGAAAGAGAGTCAGAGGTGGTCATCATCAGCATTCGCAATAGGGTGTCATTTGTATCTGTCCTCTGCAAAATTACATTAGGATATTGCTTATAATTTGTGTAATTTCCAAACTTGCATGGCCTCTTTTTGGGCAAGCATGTTCAGGCAGAAAATCTAAAGAAATGCAAGAAGTATAAATAATCAGATTTTGCAGAATCATGGATTTATATGGAACCTGTTACTCAGTTCATTACTGTTCCATGAACTTTCAGGAGATGGCCTTTAAGTTGCTTGAGGCACACGAAGGTCTTCCCGCACTGATGACAATTACAGCTCTTGCCCACTCGGCTGTGTCTTCTAAGGTGAACTCTCAGGTGAGTGGATCTATTGAACCTCATGCCGCAGTGGGTGCAGCTGAAGAGTTTCTCACGTGTGTGGATGTTCTGATGCTGTTTGAAGTTGCTCAGCCTGGTGAAGCCTTTGCCGCAGTGCGTGCAGACATGCGGCCTTTCTCCCGAGTGCTGCCGCTGGTGGACCTTCAGTTCAAAGTTGTGAACGAAGGTTTTGTTGCACTGGGGACAGCTGAGGGGTTTCTTGCCCTTGTGGGTAAGCATGTGGACCTTCAGGTGACCCACTTGTGCAAAGGATTTTCCACAGTGGATGCAACTGTGCGGCTTCTCAGTATGCATATGAAGACGTTGATTCTGGGGGAAATGATCAGGAGGTGGGACAGGGAGGAATACCTTCTCACCTGGACAGAGCTCTTGAGGAACCAAAAGACCTTCTGGAAAACTCTGTCTGTTTAAACTACGCAAGTGTCCATTTTCAATCTGTTCGAGTGAACCAGATGTCTCAGGAATGGGAGCCAAAGCAAAGTGAACTGACTGACTCGGCTCAGTCTTGATGCCTTCAGACATCTCTGGGTTACACTTCACTGAAAGGGACATTAAATATGAAGTTGGATCTGGCATGTTGAGAGTAGTTAGATTTGGAAAATTATCTACCTGTGTCTCCTCACGATTCCAGGATCCTCCGATGTCTCTGTGATTCTGATGGCTTTCCGCAGGACCACTGTCATCTGTGCAGTCCCACACCGGCAGCATCTCCTCCTCTTCTTTAATAGGAACTGGATCAGGCTCATGCTCCGATTTCACAGCAGGACAGGGTGGAGAAGAGGCCTGCTCACCACCCTCATCTTCCTCTGCAGAACTCTGTGTTAGTCTAGACTGGGTCAAATCTATTTCTTTACTGGGAGTAAAGTCTATCCCAGGTGTCTTGTGGTGACTTTCTCTGGGTTTTGAATTGGCACAGTGCTGCTCATGAATCCCTGTCACTGCTGCACTGGGAAGGAACTTCTGTAAAACATGTTGAGGAATTTGTACTGTGGTGTTAGATGTGGAGTCCTGTTTCCCACTTGGTTCAAGTGTGTTTGCCTTCTTCTGTGTGAGAGTGTGTGTCTCTGTGGGTGTGCATGAGTCCAAACTCTCTGCAGACCGCCGCACTTCACTTAATGGAGGCCTTTTCCCAGACTGCTCCCTCAGGCTAAGACTGAAACACAGAGTATCTGTACCTGCACCAGAAGACAGAAGAAAAATGGGTTATAATAAACATTTTGCCTTTTTCTCTGTCCAAAAAAAGCTTTAAAATGTAATCTCTCAGATCTGAGTCTCTAAGAACAAATGTACTTTACACTGAAAATATTCATCATCAGTAGATCATAAAGTCATTCAAGATTTTTTCCTTTGGTCCATATGTTCTCCTGAGTTCACCTGAGCACAAATCTGAAGACAATTTTCAAACTGATCACTAAATGTATCACGTTACATTCAGAAGTTATATGGCACAAATTATGTGTACATTTTTCCTTATCATACCACATTTAGTTGTTGGAAATGAATGGGTTAACTGTAAACCCTGTACTGAAGTTAACATCACATGTGGATTTGATTAGTGATGCACAATTGGAATTGGCAGATTTCTGCTCCAAATCAGCAACTGACAATCGGCCAAATTATTATTGATTTTGGCCGATCTGTGTTGCAATTTTATGATATAAATAATTGAGTCATGTAAGTGCACTCACACTCTCATCTTACTTTCAATACAGTGCATAATACACTCAGACTTTAATTCAAGTATTTTAAATTTACAAATATGCCAAAGCCAGTTTCACCCATTAAAGAGCAAATAATATTATTTCGGTTCTGTATTTCTTATGATCACTTAGCCCACACAGTGACAGTAAACAGTAAAGAAACAGGGATCAGATTCATGACCAGTGCATCCCTGTCTTTAATATTTAATATATTACACAGTTCTTCTAACCTGAGAGCGCCTCTGCTGGTGGCTCTGCAGTCCTCTCGCCGTTGGCTGTGGCTTTACCACAGTCCACACACCGCACTCTCCTTTCTCTCTCTTTCAGTTTACTCTCATAAAACTGCAGCCTCCGCATAAGCAACTCCACTTCCTGTTTGGCATGGCCCACTTCCTCCACAAAGCTGTCCTCCACCAGCTTGGTGATCTCAAACATGGCTGACTTGAGAATCGTTTCCATGACGATAGAGAGCTGGGACTGGAAGGTGATGATGAGAGTGTCTGACATCTTTCTCTCGTTGTTGTTCTGTACCTCTTCAGTACAAACTGAACACAGATTTTGTATTTTTCTCGCTCAGGACCTGTGCACATAAAAACATTTGGTTAGTTTTTGAACAAGGGGCAAACCCCTTAGAATGGACACTATCAAGGTGCAGCTGGTCATTAACAAATTATTTCAAATTCCAAATACTGTGCCATAATGTGCAACACCTAGTGGTATCAGTTTTGACAGCTGACAGTGACAGTTGACATTTGCCAGCGCTCTCAAAAAAATCTTATCGCTGTCATCTGGTGTTATATATATTGTCGCTGTCCATTTTTGATCTCCATTTTTTATTGATTTTTACTTTTCTACATCATTTGAACACGACAGCTGTCCTTCACATTGTGTGAAAATTTCATGATGAATGGACCAATAGAAATAGAAATGCTCAGAAAAGCATAGCGACATATTGTGACACACCCTAAATACATATATATGTGTGTGTGTGTGTGTGCGTGTATATAAACAACATTTAGCATATATATATGTATATATATATATATATATATATATATATATATATATATATATATATATATATATATATCGATAAGGGGATTTATTTAATCATTAGCCACTTTAGGTTCACTGCTAAGGTCAATTCATTAGATTGGGATATTTTATATTTTACAAAGAGTATTTCTCGGTTTGCGGAATACTTTAAGATAAAATTTAGGATTTCCAAATAGGAGCGTCCCTTAGGGTGGGTTCAGGTAAGTGGGACAGTGTGTTAGGTCATATGGGAAACATAAGTGACTGACAAGGTCATTATTTGACTCTACTATTTTTTTTTCTTTTATAATTAAGAAAACTTCAGCTGACTCTGAGCTTAAGTTACTTGGCTAACTGAGGAAACCCCAGTAAGGGCTGATGCTGATGCTTCGACCGTCCAAACGTGACCACGACGTGATCGTTACCTCTTTCAGCGTTTAGTAAACGCTTACACTAAAATTCACCTGCTGCCTTATTATTTTGTTACTGCCATACAAAGAAAGTCACAAGAAGGCGGGAACCAAAGTGACTGAAATTAACCTAAGTAACTGACGTAAATATTTGTGGGGGGGACGGACCCCAGACCGCTTTGTTTGGGTCCGAATAACCTCTGGTTGTAAATAAACAGTTGATTTGGCACTTTAAATCAACACATACGCGTGTTGGTTAGTTTACTCTATAATTCACTGCTAATGTCCCACTTATACAGCTGTATAATGTAGTTTTGGTGTATTAGCTTCGCGCTGTTAACGTACTGTACCGTAATAATTCAGCTAATTCACGAACAGTAACGTTGGTGCACTAGTTAGCAACTGAGCTATCTTCACTCCCTCGCTCTGCTCTCCTCCTTTACATTTATCTTATTATACGAAGCCGCACGGATTAAATTCGCCGGGACACGAGAAAACGGTACTCGACAAAAACTGCTACAATATGGTGAAATAATCACGTATTCATTAATCAAACTCACTACGTACATCCAGAGATGCTCCAGCACACAGATGGAAATCTGCTGGTTTATGTATCTTTTTGTTATTGCTGTTGTTGAATGCTATTCTTTTACTGACCCCTATTGGCCTGGAGGACCAGTGGAGCTCCGTCTCTGTCTCTGCGTCTCTCCGGACACTGCATTTCACTGGGTGTTTTAGACGCTCTTAGTTACTTCTCTAAGGACAGATTGCCAGTTAAAGATTTTCTTTTTGTACAGTATTGAATTATTATGGGTAAATATCATTTACATGAGAAGAGATGGTCTGAGTATAAGCCAAACTCTAATTATCGACTTATTTTAAAAATATATATAAAAAAACAAGAAAGCTAAAAGGACTTTGGAAATATACATTGATTATGATTTATTTAATATGTTATTACATCCCCTGGCTGTTGTATATTAAGTTATTATATACTTCCTAAAAAAAACAGAAGTCCGATAACAGAAGTTCAAAGGGGAAAAACGAGCATGTGAAAGTACACTATAGTCTCTAAAAGGGCACTCTGGCCAAAACGTAAAATTTAAGCGTAGCCACATCAGAACTTTTGAAAAACTGCAAATGCTCTGGTGTGGATTTCTGGGCTGTTCATTTTTTCTCATAAGAAGGCAGATAGCTAACATTACAGCTAGAGAGCCAAATAGGACGGCTGTATTTATCAGCCTCTACACGATCAGCGGAATTCTTTATTCCCATTGAGGGATTCACAATTGTTATATGACGTAATTGCATAGTGCATGCTGGATATTGTAGTGACGGAACACTGACGGACGAAAACACGAAAAGGACACACGATCATGAATTCTGTCATACTGATGAGACTGAGGGATGCAGTGCTACAGTATTTTACATAACATGACAAATAACACATTAAATGCTAATTTTAGCCCTGAACGCTGCTTTTGGGGTTTGTACTTTTCTTAGTATATTAAAATTATACTTTGACATGTACTGAGGTTTGTTTGTTTATTTATTTATGTATGGGGTCAATTTCGTTCTGTGCTGCTGGTGGCATCACTGCTATTGCTCACTTCACTCTTTCAGGCATTGGCATGTTATTTTAAGCCAGAAGGGTCTGGCAAAAGCCAGAATAGCATCAGCACCTATGCTGGTAGATCCTGAATGTACTACCTATTTTCACCACAGTCCTACTGGGAACTTAAAAATACATTTAAAATAATAAATGCAAGATAAGATGTGTGTTTAAGAAGAAACAGATTTTTTCAGTTTGATAATGTTACACTTGCCATCCTCAGTTGTTCTTCCTGTGCATTTCTTTAACTCAGAACTAACAATTATACATGGCATGTTAAAAAGGTCCTTTATTCATAATTCATACAGATGCCATTTCATGGCATACAACTATGAAAAAGACTACAGCTATGCAAGGTCTTTAAGCACAATATTGCTTAAATAGCCAGAAAGGTCATACACTCATATACAAAACAACAAACAGGTGCACAAATACAATAGTTAACAAACACTGTAAACACATAAGACCGCTTTAATTTCTACCTCACTGAGCCAGACAGATCATAACTCTAACTGTTACTAAATCTACGCCTCTAGTCACAGATTGGCAGAGTGAATTCTCTGGTGTCTTTTTAGATTGCATTTCTGTGTGAACCTTTTGCCACAGGCCAAGCAGATATAGGGTCTTTCACCTGTGTGGACCCTGCGATGCGCCTTCAAGTTGCTGAGTTTGGTGAAACTGCGGCCACACAAACTGCAGCAGAATTGTCTTTCTCCTGTGTGAATCTGTTGGTGAGCCCTCAGGTGGCACAGGTGAGAGAAGCCTTTACCGCACTGGCTGCAGTTGTGTGGTGTCCTGACCGTATGGTGCCCAATATGACCACCAGTCCTAGCGCTGAGTGCCTGCATGAGATTTCTTCCAGACTGCAAGGCACTGATGCTTCTCTCGTCCGCGTAAGCTCTCTGGAAGTGCTGAAGTGCCTGAGAGGGTTTAGGCAGAGAGGCTGGACTCTTGTGAACTGGTTGCCCCCTGGCTATATTCACGGTGCCAGGATTAGAGGCCAGCACGCTGGCATGTTCTACTAGTTTGGTGGGTTTTTTCACTAGTGTCCTTTGCTGCGTGACCTGAGAGGCAGGGCTGCTCACCTTACCACAAGGCCCAGGATACACCACACTTCCTTCCACTGGAGGTCTGGTGGGAGGAAGATCTCCGTGTTGGTGTTTATCCAGTGTCGGATTTACCCTGCTGGGGGCGGAGGTAGTCCCTGATCTCACCCTATCCACCTCTTCCCATTCCGGTGGAAGCACCACTACAACTTCCTGTTTTATGGGCACAGAGTTAGGACTCTTTGCCAGCTGCTTCACAGTGGAACACTCAGAAGATGGCACAGCTGCAGGCCCTGGCTGTGGGAGAGGTGACTGCTCAGCATGATCTGTTTTAGAGTCTGGCCTTTTTAAATGTGGCCTATTTTTCACAGAATCTTGAATACCAGGGCTGCCAGACTTGCTTCCAGTAAATTTGTCCCTCTGAGGAACTCTGTGGTCAGGCTGTGAGGTATGGAGGCCTGACGTCTCTCCAACATTATGGCTCTGTGGCTCTCTGTGATCTGCTGTGTGACTGTGTACTGTTGAGTAGATCTGCGTGTCTGTAGACTCTGCAACCTCCTCTTTCATGGCTCCTCCTACTCTAGCTTCACTGACTTCAACAATCTGAAAAAGAGAGGTTTGGTGAGGTCAGTCTAAAAGTAGGTTTCAGTAGACCTATGTGGTATGTTAGATATGTACTGCATTCCTCATATGCCTACCTATAGTTCAGCAAAACTTTCCCCTCACCCTTTTTTTGTTTTGGAGCTACAAGGCTAATGTAGATGGAGACTTACCCACTAACTAGCACTGTGCAAACTGCATGCCTAAATCATCACAACTCTTACCCAAAGTTGTTTTGTTATCAAACAGACTTGCTTAAGTTGTTTCATATGTGACATAATGTAATCTATACAAACAGACAAAAGTATGCCACACCATTAAAAACAATAGTAGCAGCCATCCGGAAGCCTGGATTTTATCCATACAGTGTCAGAAACTATAGAAACAGTCTACCTGGGATTATTTCCCAGCTCGAGATAAGTGTGTGATGATTTAGGCAAGCTGTCTGCACGATACTAATAGACTTTCATAACTTGTTAACTACATTAGCATTGTAGCTCCAGTGTAAAGCCAAATAAACATATATTAGACACCAAACATGTCTTGGCTAATCGAATACATTTGAGTAAAGATAAAAAGAATGTAAATTAGATGTTTTGCCAAACAAGTCTTTTCTAATAGTACTTAAAAATGTGCATGCCCAAATTTAAACTTAGCCCACCTTAAGTTCAGTGTCTGGGATTGTTGAGGATGCCTCCTGGCTTGGTGTTACACTGCCCTTCCCACAGCTTCTGCCTCCATCAGAAGAGCCTTCATGCTTCATAACACCAACCAACTCCACACCTTCAGAAGATAAGTCCACACACTTGTGTAACAAATAAGTGTATCACGAAGGATATACAGTGTGTTCAAAATGTTTGTAGACACCCACTCACTATTTTTTTCTGAAATTAAAGGTATTACTGGGGAGTTAACAGCCACTACTCTTCTGATAAGACTTTACACTGGATGTTGGAGCATTGTTGTGAAGATTAGATTGAACTGAAGGTAGGTTGCCTGATTAGTTCTTGATTACAAATGCCACTCCAACTCATCCCAAAGATACTGGGTAGTGCTCCATCACTCCAGAGAACACAGTTCTACTGCTCCACAACCCAGTGCTGGGGGGCTTTATACCTGCAGCTGACACTGTAGTACTGGACATGGTGACCTTACATTAATGTGCAGCTGCTCCAGAGCATCCCACACTTTTTACAGTGCTTTTCTATAGAGATTATACAAGATGTGCGTGTGCAATTGAATGCCTGTGTCAGCAGTGGGTGCATCTTAAGGTAACGTTAGCTGAGTTCATTCATCAGAAGGGATGCCTAGATACTTTGGGACATATAATGCAGTTTGAGGATTCTACTTACCAGCTTGTGTCCTGGATTCTCTACTATCCGTTTCCTTCCTGGAGAAGCCAGTTTTGCCACAATCCACGCACTTTACCCTTTTAACTCTTTCTCGCTCGCCAAGTTTGTTTTCCAGGATCTGTAGCCTTCGTCTCAAAACGTCTGCTTCACGTTTCCCACGACCGACCTCCTCCAAGAAGCTGCCCTCAACTAGCCTGGTGATCTCACATACAGCTGACCTCAGGATGGTCTCCATGACCCCAGAGAGCTGGGTCTGGAAGGTGAGAAGTAGAGCATCCGACATCCTACTGAGTCTCTAGCAGTCCTTTCACACAACCGTGCCAAAAGCGATTTAGTAATAATGACTAATACAGCTGTAGGCGCTGTGTTCGTATGTATCTCCTATATCTCTCTGCTCTGCGGCCTGGTAGAGACACACTGAAGTGCAGCCTTGTCCATCATCACAGTCTCTGCTGAGGTCTGACAGTCAGACAGTGGCGGTGCAGGTCCACATGTGAGCTCGCAGAACTCTCGTACATTCTCGGAGAATAAATTAAATGCATCAGGAAAACGGCTGTGTTTTACAGCTGCTGTAATTAGCTTGCTTTGTTAGCCGTATCTGTCAGACTGACTGTGTAACTGGGACCGTTAGTGCTGCTGAGGCGGCTAGCCTGGGCTAACCAGTTAGCAAACAGCACTTGCAAGGCTACATTTCCTCGATAACGGCGACCATTCTGCAAAAGCTTGACACCACTCGACACAAAAGAAGCGCTCTAAGGTTGTAAATAACGAAATATCGTTGATAGCGATTTTCTTAAGCAAGAAAATAATTAGGCATGGATACGACGGTGTGAAAAGGAAAACCTTGTTGTCCTCCGTGACGTCACGCGTTGTACAGTGGCCTACTTGGACAGACTTAGTGGAGACGGCGCACTTTTAAAAAGATGGTTCAAGGGTTTTTTAGTGAAGGGAATGGTTCTATTTAGAACCATGAGTTCGATATAGAACCATTTAATGCTTAAATGGTTCTGTGCACAGTGAAAAGGTTTTTCAGATTGATGGAGAATGTGTTGCATTTCGACAGCCTGCCTTAGATTCTTACTTTGCCTTTATATTACATTGACATCTATAAAACTCACCTTAATTTTCCTTAACTACTCAAAACCTAAACCTGACCCTGATATCAACCATAACACTGTTGAGAATCAACTCCACCTGATAGTTCGCTAATAATCTGAATATATGTAGTTAGATAATCTATAAGGAGCTATCCATATAAAGTGGGATCTGATATTGTTAGAAACACATGTTAAAATATATCACTAATAATTTCATATCTTTTAATTACCCTACATTATACTGAGGGCACTTCACATCATCATGGACAGAATTTTTACATAAATATTCAAGTGTTCATGTTTGACTTTATTAATAGGATATACACATCTTACACTTTTCATTATAAACATTACCATCTTCATAATGTGATAAAATAATATAACAACAAACTGTTGCTCCATAGAAACTGAAACACCTTTTTTTCTTAAAGGTAAACTGTTTTAATCAGCATCCAGTAGAAATATCAACTTTCATCCACAACCACAACTCAAATAAACCAACACAAAAAGTCTGGAAGTCGTTTTATATAAACACATTTTAGCTAGGAGTGACTATAATGAAATGAAAGAAATGCAATGAAAAAACATAATTGAAACATTAATAAATAAGAGACATGATAATCCCAGTCAGTAAAACAATCCAATTACAAAGGCACTGCAGTATCACTAAGTACCAACAGAAAATCTGACTACCATACAGTTTCTTTAACCATGATGCGAACTAACCTGAAATGACATTTGCCAAATGTTTGACAGGATGTTAAATAATAAATTACAATATTTCACGGGTAAATTAACTAATGTAAACTAGTAGAGAACAAATCCTGAAGGGGGTGTAAAAATGCATCGCTGCATTGTGATTTACTGACCGGTGTGTAAATGCATTGATTCTGCAACTTAACATATTCAATACAACCACCATTTTTGGCCAACAAAGTTAAATACTTGAGCTGTTTTCAAACTTGGGCTATTTTCAAACACTGCTCATTTTATTGACTATGCTTCTTCCTCTGTTGCCAGTTTGACAGATATGCAGTGGACACACTTGTAATGCCTTACAGTCCAATTACAATTCATGATCTATTTGAAAACAAAGACAAAACTTATTCTAAGTTGTCAGTTTATTATGTACACCTACCTTGTACAAAGCACTCACTGGCCATTTTATCAGATGTAGGTTCACAGTTACTGACTGTCGCTGATCAGCTGCTGTGCAATTTGTTACCCCGCCCCAACCAGTCAACTGTGGTCAGAAACTAACCACTGATAAAAAGCCAGAGGATGGCTTACTCAAACTGTGCATGAAGTCATAGTCTCTAACTATACCAACAAAAACTACAATTATATGTGTCTGATAAAAGGGGCCAGTACGTGCACACAGTGAACCCCAGCAACAGTGCATACCACTACTCTGTCAGTGTCACTGCTGTGCTGAGAAAGATCTACTACAATAATATCTGGTCAACAGTTACCCTGTGGTAGGGGTAGATGGGACAGAGGATGGCTAATAATGGCTAATGGTTGCTGGTAGCTTAGTTGTAAAAGAGGTGAGCCAGCAAATGGAATGCTGTGGGTATACCTAGAACTGACTGGGTATAACTGGCGGGGCCCTCGGGCAACATGCTTAAGCCTCCCCAACTAAAAGTGGCACTGGTCTGCTGGCAATGCTGTGCTGCTTCCAGACCAGGCATACTTAGAAAGCATACTGATCCTATAAGGGAAATTAAGTACATAACATAAATTGTGCATGACAACAGTATACCTATCTGCAAGGTATAAAAGGTGAAACCTGATAAAATGGTCAATGAGTAGATACAAGGTAGGTGTACCTAATACACTGGACACTCCGTGTATAAGCATTGAATTAGTGTACAGATGAACAGAACTGCAGATCTAGCGATTGTTCAGGTCAGATCCGTGTTTGCGCTGGTGTGATCGGAGATGGTCGAGCCGTTTAAAGCTCAGCCCACACACCCTACAGCAGTACGGTCTCTCTCCAGTGTGCGTCCGCTGATGGACCTTTAAAATGTCGGCCCGGGTGAAGCTTTTGTCGCACATGCTGCACTGGTGTGGTTTCTCCTGTGTGTGAATGCGGCGGTGCAGCTTGAGGTTCCACAGCCGGCTGAACTTGTTCCCGCAGAGCGTGCAGCTGTAAGGCTTGTCTCCAGCCTGGCTGCATCGGTGCCTCCGCAGGTCGCTGAAAGATGAGTAGCCCTTCCCACAGTGACTGCACAGGTGCAGTCCGTCCCTCTGATGGACGCGTTGGTGGACTTTCAGGTTGCAAGCTTGGGTAAACTTCTTCCCACACTGGTTGCAGACGTAAGAAGGTGACATACTGGCTCGGTGAGTAAGCATGTGGGCCTTTAAAGAAACCTGGTCTGGAAAATTGATCATACACTGAGAACAAGTGTGAAGACTTTTGTCTCCATCTCCCACCATTTCAGTGTGGTTCAGGTCCACTGGGTGGCTAAATGCATCTCCACTGTAAAAGCAATTACTGCTGTCATTAACTGTGTCTCTGCTGTACATGGAATGTCCCCGATGGCCAGGGTCAACTACAAGTCCAACTGGAGCCTGAGGAAGAGAATTAATGTCCTGCAAGTATCCCTCTTCATTAATAAGCAAACAGTTCAGATCACCTGTATCTGGAGTATTGTGTAAAGACGATGAGCCTTTGTTTCCTCTCTTATTTCTAATACGTCTCCCACATTCCAAAGATGAACTCAGGTCAGTCTGCAAAGAACCTGACAGTGCACCAAATCCCAATACCTCTCCAGTTCTCTGAGGTGACCCTGTTAGTCCATTCAGGTCTCCCATGTCCAGCTCCTGGGTGCTGTAACTTGCTGATCCTAAGTCCTCCATGTTGTAGCGAGTTCTATATGGCAGACCCTGGATGTTGTCTGCCTCCGGTTCAGGGTCAGTTGCTTGATTCAAGCCTGAGCTCCAGGCATCCTGAATCTGCTGCAACTCTTGCTCACTGTAGGTCTTACTATGAGCAGAATTGTCAGAACCTTCTACTGGGAAAACACATGAAGAAGTGGGTAAATAAACTGGAAGCCTATATTGGAAAGGTTGAGATACCAATATTATAAGCTATGAGTGATTTAAAAATGGCAACTGTTCAGTAATATAAAGAAAAAAATGTTATAAAGCCATATAGAGTTATGCTAAACTAAGACTAAGACATTTCCTAAAACATAACTACTCACAAATATAAACGACCTCTGCCAGTGGTCAGTGATGTTTAGCTTGAGTTTAAGTTAAAATCATGCATTATCATGTTCTACTTAGAACTTAATAGCTAAATGAATGTCTGCTACACTTTTAGACATGTATTAATTTATACCTTCAGTGCTTAGCCTCCACTCGTTTTGTGGCTCAGAACCAGCAGCAGTAACGCCCTCTGCTTTAAGCATGCAGTTCAGCTTTCCTCCCTCCTCAGCTGCATTCTGGAAAAAGCACACAACACAGACACTGCTTAAGAAATCTGCACATCAAAACATGATGGACACATGGAGGTACATGATCAATTGTTTAAAACAATAGTCTCCACCTGAACCTGAGTACCATAACCACCAAAGATAATAACAGGTGAGTTCACAGTTCACTTCAGCACATTAACAATGCCTCATTAAACATACCTGATTCAGCTCAAACAAACTGAATTCTGAGCATTAGATGGGGATAAATACTAATTTCTGCAACACTTTGGCCCAGAAGATCCCAAGTTTGACATGCCTGGTCTAAATGGACAATTATGCATGCAGCTCACCTCTGCAGCTTTAACTGGACTGGATACATTCTCTGATTCCACAAGTCCAGAAAGTTCATCCTTCTTCTCAATTCCACAGCTCTTCCAACTCTCCTCCACACCTCTCTCCTGTTTAAGGTTTCGTGCATTTTCCACACCTGAGGAAGGATAGAAGAAATGCTAAGAGTCTACACCAATCATAGTAAATGCACTGTCTACATAAGAAAGAACGATTGTTATGTTACATGCTCAGCAAGTATGTATAAAAAGCATGAACAATCTGTTGTTAGCTTTTTACTTTAGAATCTCACAAATCTGATGGATAACTGTTGTTAGTAAGAATATCGTTCATTACAGTAATGTGATATAATACTATTATAGAAGCATTCTGCAGTACTATAGAAATCTTAGGTATTTTCTAAGGTATATGTTCTTATAGTGTTAATACAAATGCTGCTGATCTGCTTAAAAGAAAACTTTTTCAAAAATTCAACATAATTAAATGGTTGAGATGACTATATCTGTGTTGTTGACATTGTGACACCTGTTTCCTATCACCACGACTGTAAAGAAATCTAGGTCTCTGAGTTTCTCTACAATAAACCACATCAGACCACTGTGAATGTTTACATCTCAATGACTGAGTTATTCATAAATTTTGAAAGAAATGGTGGGATTCCCCTTTAACACTTTAAATTCACCTGTTTGGGTCAGTGAGGCTTTCTCCTGTTTCCCTTCACCATCAGAGAGCCTGGCTTTGCCACAGTCTGCACACTTTAGCCTCCTGCCTTCTTCTTGGTCTCTGCGCCTCGATTCAGACCACTGAAGCCTCTTTTTCAAAGATTCAACCTGTTCACGGCTCCGAGACACTTCTTCCAGAAAACTGTCCTCCACCAGCCTGGTGATCTCAAATATAGCCGCCTTAAAAACGGTCTCCATAACGCCAGAGAGCTGGGACTGAAACGTCAGGATGATTTCAGACATCTTGAACGTAAATGTTGCGACAGTGAAGAAGTAGCTAAATCTAAACCAAACGGTACAGCCGTGTTAGAGCCCCCTGCGTGTGGGACCACTCATTAGCTAAACCTTCGATAGCATTAGCCTGAACAGCAGCAGACAGTCAGCTAACGCTCCTAAATTTAAAATCGATTTATTCATATATCTTTTACTTGTTTTCCAAATCGCTAACTCCTTCCAATTCGGCAGACGTTTTCTTTAACCTGCGAGCTGTTAATATCAGAGGTAGCGGCTAACTCAGTTTAACGTTAAGAATGATACACGAGCTAGCTAGCTGGTTAGCTTAGCTAGCTAAAGAAAGACAGAAAAAACAGTCAGTCCGTAGTTTCTTAGCTGCCTCAGAAGGTAACTTTTTAAATCACAAATGACATTACCGCATTTTTCCTATGTTACAGGTAATAAATAGTCATACAGGTCTGTCAGAGTGAGGAGAGAAGTGTGGAGGTTTGTCTAATCCAGGCTGTGTGGGACTCCTCTCTGTGTTGGGGGACTAAAACAGTGTTACACCGAGTCCTGCGGGGTGTGTTCACACAGACCACTCGGCCGCAGATAGGGACTCTGCACGTTCTTCACTGAAACAGCTTACAGACAAAATAACTGTCCCCACATATTCCTAGAACCCACCCACAAACACCATTTAAAGGGGAATTCCGCCGACTTTTCAATTTTTTTTTTGTATAATTTAGTCGTTGCGACATAAACAGAGTGAGTTAGAGTGGTTTGGTGTGAAGTGGTTCATTGTAGAGAAACTTAGATTTCTTTTAAAGTGGTGGTGATAGGAACTAGGGGTCTACAACACAAATATAGCCATTTTATTCACCATCCAAAGCCACCAGTGAACCTATTTGTGTCTTGAGTTTTTATATATAATGTTGATGCTGGTAAAATAGTGGAAAATCTGAAAAAATATGTTGTATTTGACAAGTATTTTGCCTTACAACGCCCTGCACGTATCCCTCCACCATAAAATAAATGGATTAACGAGATGTTTTAGGCCAAAACTTTCTTATAAATCTATCATAAAACAATGTGTCAGGCATCAGACATAATATCTAACCATTTTATGTAATAACTTTCAGTTAGGGAACTTTTAGAGGCATTAAACTCAGATGTCTGGCTCCTATCACCATCACTGTGAACAATTCTACCTCTTTTGTTTACATCTTAACCGTTTAATTATGTGGAACTTTATCGGTGGAGTTCCCCTTTAAGATGTAAACAAAGTCATTCAGAGTAGTTCAATGGGAAGTGCTCCATTTTAGAGAAACTACAGAGTCAGAATTGTTCACAGTGGTGGTGATGGAACCAGCCACTGTTCATTGTTTGATGATAATGTTGATGATAAGGTTGAGATACGATTTTGGTCTAAAGGTTATTTTTAAAAATCTATTCAAGGCAGAGAGGTACATGGACATTTAAAAATAAGTTGTAAGGCAGGTATTGTAAGGTGTTTTAAGGCAAATTAGTACCCAAAGAAAACTTTTTTTGGATTTGCCACTATTTTACCATTATCAAGATTACATAAGAAACAGGAACAGAAGAGAAGTCAAGGTTCACTGGTGGTTTTGGACAGTAAATAAAATGGCTATATTTGCTTTGTAGGCATCATGACCTCTGGTTCCTATCACCACAACTGTAGAAAAATCGGAATCTGTGAATTCCTCTACAATGCACCTTTCAGATCAAACCGCTCGGTATTACTTTTTCATATTGGTAACTGAATTCCTCTTCAATGTTTGTAGTTCTCTTTAGAATATTTAGTAAAATAATTGACAAATAAAAGTTAACCAGAGTGAAAAGGGGAAGAAGACTGTAGATTCTCCCAACAATCAATCACCACCATCAAACCAGCAAAGTGTTTTGGTTTGTGTTTGTTATTTTGGCCTTTTGGGTTCTGTGAAGTCCTGTTTTATGCATGTACTCTGTTCACCCCCTCTGTGAATGTACCATTCATACGAAGGGGTGGTAGCAGCAGCACTGCTGTGTCTGATTTGCTTTTACCAGCGTAACACATACTAACACACCATCACCATGTCAGTGTCACTGCAGTGCTGAGAATGATCCATTACCTAAATAATACCTGCTCTGTGGTGGTCCTGACCATTGAAGAACAGGGTGAAAGGGGGCTATCAAGTATGCAGAGAAGTTACTAATCTACTAATTGTACATCTACAAAGTGAAACTACATGGAAAATGGTGCTGATAAAATGAACAGTGAGTATAGATACAAGGAGCTGGTTTTAATGGCTTTATAGCCATTTATATATTAATGTGATTTAGACCATGGCTGATCAGTGTAGATCCAGAAACACATCTGCTACAAAATCAGCCTGAATCTCATGAATCACCTCCACTGATTCAGTCTTGCATTCTCCCAGTTCAAACAATTTGTGTGTGTTGGCAGAGCATCATCAGTCTTAAGAGCTTGTTGTAGTTTCTTCTTTGATTTCCATGTCCTGTAAGCACAAAGGCTATTATTAACTAAACCAGTTTGATGGCTTCCAGTTGGGGTCAAGACTCATTTACAATTGTCATGATTCAGGATTTAATAATTGGCCAGGGCCCACCGACAGGCCCAAAGTTTTATTACACACTTCTATAAACTAAGAATTGCTCAGCCAGTTTACATTGCAGTTCATGTAGTTACTGAATAATAAGCCTTAGTATGTAGTAATCCTAGGATTTTAAGGGGTTAACTGAATTAAAGAGTTCTGTTGTGTCCAACCTAAACACATCCATCATCCATTTCAGAAATGTTGTAGTGAAATAGTTCTCTGGTGTATGATTTTAAATGTACTTACATGCTGTTCTGCTTCTTAAAAATATAGTTGATTTTAGACTGCATTGACTGCATTGTTCTTCAGTTTATTTGTTTATTTTGGGTTTTTGTAGCTCTGTACTGGTAAATCTTTTACCAAACCAACACAATTCAATGTCTGAATCCCCTTGTCCATTTTTCATCATCTGTACAGCTGGGTTTGGAAAGGAAAAGCAGGAGGGATAATTCACAACTTTTATTCTATTATTTTTTTAATTTAATTCATTTGTTTACATGCTCATTCAACAGCTGTGCTTTTATAGATCCAGAGGTTTCTATATCCACACTCTTAAAAAGATGGTTCTTCAAGGGTTCTATAGTAAAGGCAGTTATTCTATTTAGAACCATGAGTTCTATATAGAAACATAACATGCTTAAATGGTTCTTTGCATGGTGAAATCGTTCTTTAGTTGGATGGAGAATGTGTTGTATATGGTTCTATATGTAATATTTTTGAAAATGGTTCTGTGTAGCTTCAAAATGGCTTCTGTTGTAACAATAGAAGAACGCTTTTTGGTACTATAAAGAACCAAATACAACACATTCTCCATCAGTCTGAAGAACATCTCACTATTGAAAGAACAATTTAACCCTTCTGTCATCTTCAGATTTGAAACTTTTGCTGGGAATTATGTGTTATGTGTTCTGTGTACACTGATGTGTACAAAATGTGGAAAGGACACTGAAAACATCATCATTTTAATCTTATGTTTCAGCCAGTTATTCCCATTAAGTCATTAAATATGAAGCAAAAAAATGTGTCAATCATTTATTTAGAGATGTTAAACACTAAATTGACCCCAAAGCAGAAATGGTTCTAAATGGAACCATTGCCTTTACCCAAGAACCCCTGAAGAACCATCTTATTTCAACAGTCTAATCCAGCTACACTACATGGTTTTGTGTTTTTCCTCTTCTAGCACACCTGATATAGCTCAGGAAGGGCTTGATCCTCAGCTGTGACAGGTGCAGGGAAGAGCAGGTGAACTACATGAGCGGAGCTGGACAACACCGCTGTAGGTCCTGTCTCAGAGGCTGGCAGTGACTCTAAACTCCTCAGTGGACTGTGGTCCTCAGCCCAGCGCCCCAAATAATCTACTGAAGTAATAAGCGCTGTGCGGAAGTGAGAGTTATTTTTGACTCCGCTCTGAGTTTGAGTCAGACGCGCGCGGCTCCGCGGATCTTCACACCATCGTTTCCTCAAATCGGCGCGCGCACATGGCATACAGATCGAAGGAACTGCGAAGTGGCGCGCGCCCGTGCCGTCGACCAATGATACGTCACTGTAAACTTCGCCCCGTCTGTGAAAGAGAAACAGGTCTGTGCTCGTTAAGCTCAATAAAGTCAGTCCAAACTGCGCTGAATGTCATCATGGAGGATGACGGTGGGTTTCAGACCCAGTTCGCCTCAGTGATGGAGAACGTGCTGAAGGCGGCCGTCGGCGAGGCCACCAAGCTGTTCGAGCGCACTCTGCAGCAGCTGAGAGCCGAGCTCGTCCACTTGAGGCAGGAGAATGTGGACTTAAAGACCGGCGCTTTTGCTCGCCAATTCAAGACAACACTCGCCGGAGAAGGAGCGCAGAGGACTGATCAGACAGCAGGACCACCCAGACGTGATGTTGGTGTACAGTGTGGTAAGTGTGAATTACTGAACACATTTAAGAACAGCACGCATAAAACACTTCCTGGAAAACTATTAACGACTCTCCACACATACAAAGGGGCCGTTTCATTATAAAGGGTGGGCTGCCAGAATGATGCTCTGGCCCACAGTGTAGTCTTTACACTGTAAACTTCACTAAGTTCCCTTAAAAAATCTTACAAACTCATTGCCTAGAAAAAAACTTAGTGACTCAACAGATTACATGGCTTATATAAGATGAGAATCACCATTTCTGAGGACTCTACTACAGTGCCCTCCACAAATACTGGCACCCCTGGTAAACATGAGCAAAACAGGCTGTAAAAAACATTCTTTATTGCTTATCCTTTTAATCTTGCTTTCAAAATATTAACAAAAATCTGACCTTTTTGAAGTACAATGATAGAAAAAAAACATAAATCTCATCAGGAAATATTTTTTCTCAAATCTGTATGTGCCACAGTTGTTGGCACTCCTTCATTTAATACTTTGTGCAGCTTCCCTTTGCAAAGATATCAGCTCTGATTTCTCTCCTGTAACACTTAATGAGACTGGAGAACACATGGCGAAGGACCTGAGATCATTCCTCCATACAGAACCTCTCCAGATGCTTCAGATTCTGAGGTCCACTCTGTGGACTCACCTCTTCGGCTCATCCTGCAGGATTTCTATGGGGTTCAGGTCAGGACACTGGGGTGGCCATGACAAAACTTTAATTCAGTGGTCAGTGAGTCATTTGTGTGTTGATTTTGAGGTGTGCTTTGGATCATTGTCCTGCTGGAAGATCTAAACGATGGCCCAGTTTAAGCTTCCTGGCTGAGACAGTCAGGTTTTGATTTTATTTCTGCTGGTACTTGTTGGAGTCTGTGATGCCATGTATGTGAAGAAATTGGCCCAGGGCTTTTGGAAGAATAACAGCCCCACAAGATCACAGATCCACCTCCATACTTCACAGTGGTGAATGAGGTACTTTTCTGCATGGCTATTTTTGTGTCCACACCAAAGTCAACTCTGACGTTTATTGCCAGAAACCTCTATTTTGATCTCATCTGACCATAGGACATGTTTCTACTGAAGGTTCCAGTACCGTTTGGTGAACTGTAGGAGCTTGAATTTGTTGGTCCTTGACAGCAGAGACTTCTGGCAAACGCCGCAAACAACTTGTGGTTATATAGATAGTGTTTGATTGTAGTTTGGGAGAAAGTCTGACGCCAAGACCTGACTAATGTCTGCAGTTCTGTGATACTTGAAGATTCTTTGTCCACTTGAACCATCCTCCTCACTGTCTGTAGGATCAGTATGGACATACATCCTCTTCCTGGTAGATTCTTAATGTCTCCAGTTGTTTTAATCTTCTTAATTATTGTTCTGATTGTGGAAATGTGCGTTTTCAAAAGTTTAGCTATTTTCTTGAAGCCATTTCCTGATTTGTGCAGCTCAACAACATTTTGTTGCACATCATTGCTGTTTTTTCTGGTCTGATGGATATATTCCCCAGTGAATCAGGAAGTCATAACTGACTAACTGACTAATCATAACCTAATTGCTCTGGTGAACTTAAACATAAAATATGAATAAGAATATACTACAGTTAAATTTCATTTCTAGGGGTGCCAATAATTGTGGCACACATACATTTAAGAACATTTTTTTTTTCATGATGATTTATTTTTTTCTTTCAGTCATTTTATCTTAGCCCTTGTGTGGTGTTCATATTTTTGTTACTCAGTGGTCTCCCACCGCATTATTGGCTTTTAAAATCATAACCATAACAATTTATGTAAAAATACCACCATGTTTAAAATCATAAGTGGTCAGTGTAGAGTTCTCTTTTTGCAGCTGTAGCCAGTCAGCAGCCTGTCCATGTTGTCCACCCTCACACACACGCACACATATACAAACACATACACATATACACACACACACACACACACACACACACACTAACAGCAGGCCATGTAGGAGGAGAACAGAGTGAAGGGACACAGCACCTCTACACTTTTATTTATTTATTATTTATTTTATATGTTCTTCACAGAAACTGAGCAAAGCCCAAGGAATCTGATGTTGTGATAATAATAAATCGCATCATTTTTTCTTTTGGTAAACATTGAAAATGGGTCCCACAGACCTGAACACCACACGAGGGTTAAAGGTTAGGTTTTTGCTAATATTTTGAATGTAAGAAAAATAATAAATAGTTAAGAATATTTTTTACAGCTCATTTTGCTCATGATTACCAGCGATGCCAATAGTTGTAGAGAACATTGTAGCTTAATGCATATTTGTCATTCTGTTAGTATTCATGACTCCAGGCTGAACTAGTAAACCTGAACACAAAACACCATCATGAGGAGAAAAACATGTTAAATACTTCCAGACTTTACATTTAACATGATAATAATACTACACATAATTCATTCTGACATTTGTATTTTATGTTTTTTTCTGTAATGTCTGTTCATTTTACTTAAAATATTGTTTCCCCTAAATTTTCAAGTGCCATATTAGACTTGATGTGAATGCAAGTAAAAACAATCAATAGTGCTATAAAACAGAAACATGAGCATCCCATTATTAAAAAGAAGGCTACATAAATAGCTTGTGGGATCAACAATTGTGTATAAGCTCTGTTACTATATAAACATTTTTGTGTTGTGTTACTTGTAGGTTACTTCTCAAGGCTTTGCGCAACTACCATTTTTGTGTAGGACCTTCAGTGTTTTCTTGACTATATTAAAAGTATTAATCATTTTCCAGAAAAGCCCCTCATGGTGGAAAGATGCTGCAGCCCAGCCCCATTTGGCCTTCAGCTAGATATCGCAAGTGATGGTCTTGCAGATTTGTGTTCCACTGCTGCAGACGATGGAAACAGACAGCTTGCTTTGCTGCTCATTAAAAAAGAAGTGAGAACTTATTTTAGTGAGATGTTTTTGTGTCTGTTAATTGTGCATATTTAAATGAATCGGTTTGGTAACTAGTGCTGTTCAAGGTTGTAATTTCAGCTATTTAACAGTGTCATTATAGAGTCTAGGGGTCCACAATTCCTGATGTATGCATAATTGTGTACTGTGGCCCCAAAATGTATTTGGACATTTTTACCTTTCTTAAAAATGTATTAAGTTCATTGTGTCAGAAGACAAGGCGTCAGTTTATTTATGTATTTTAAAGAGACCATTCAAAGACATTTCAGTTTGTTATCCTAATAGCGTTTCTGCAGACCTTTTCAGGGTCGCATCCAGGATGGCTTTGTACACTTCTGAGTTCATAATCCCATCAGTGTTTTCTTACAACCATTGTAAGGAAAACAGGAAAACAAGAAAAACTTTAAAAAGTAAGTAACTGGGTTAACTTGAAATGTTTATTGAGCTTCAAACAGTAGTGTAATAGATGATAAAATACACATTATTCATTTGTTAAATTAATATTACGATAATTCAACGAACTCAAAATTTCAAGTTAACCTGGTAACTTACTTTGAAGGTTAAAAGCGTGATAGATTTTTACAGTGTGACGCTTCCACCTCTTAGTGCAGTCTAGTTGGAATTCTACTCCAGACTTATTCCACACAAAGAATCTATCATCGGTTTGATGTTGTGCTTAAAGTGTTTTTTTCTGAAATAAATAGAATTTATTTTATGAAGTAAACTAAAGAACTTCAATAAAATTTACCAATGCTTAAGTGGTTAGTCCAAATACTTTGTGGGGCCACTGTACGTGTATTGACTTACTTACATATTTGTTTATTTATTCATTGTATTTTTTTCTCCTTAGCCTCAGGAGACTGACTGTGATGACTATGCACCTGGATACTTTTTACTGAAGCAAGAGGGTGCTGAGCCAATACTGGTGCGCAAGGAGCCCTTTAAGAACACCATGGAAAGAGGTGTGGGAGTTACCATAACTGGACAGAACATTGTGTTTGGCGAAAGCTTTCTCTATGCCATTACCTTCATGTCAACTTTACATTCTGCTTCACTCTGTATTTCCATGCTTCCATCTAACCTTGCTTTCCTCTCATCTTTCTGCATGTGCACAGTTACGATCCCCTCAACATTCCAAACAGTGACCAGATGCTATGGAAATCCCAGAGAAATATCAACTGCTAGTACATCCTCAACCACTAATCCAGCCCCAACCACTAATACAGTCTCCTGTAGCAATAGAGTGGACTACTCTAATAACAAAGTTACCCAGACTACAAGTACATCTACTTTCAAAGGTTTGGCTTCGCTGAGTGAAACAGAAAGACAAAAAACCTCTCCATCAGCTATGATATCAAATTTACCAGAGCTACCAGCTAGTTCAACTCAGCTATCTCTTCCTGCAGTTAGCTTACCTGCACCAGCAATCTCACTGTCTCGCAAACAAGGTCAGATGTCAACACCTAGAGCCCATCTAACAGCCCCACCAGTTTCATCTCAAACAAATCAGCTCTCTGAGCCACATGTCCAGCTCAAAACCTCCCAACCTCCACAAATTGTTCAAAATATCCAGCACCCTTGTGCAGTGGCAAGGCTCCCTCATCCTCAACACCAGAATCTAGACTCTTGCTCTTCTGTCCAGTCATTACAAACTCCAGTTGTAACTGCAAAGAAAAGAGTTTTACCAGCCTCAGTAGACCAAACTGTGAGACCAATAGCTCGGTCATCCCCTCAGGCAAAGCAGCTTTCAATCCCTCCAGTCGAATCATTTATTCCTCGAGTCAGGAGCAAGACTGCACTAAGTCGTTTTTCGGGTCCTAGAGCCCAGCTTCCATTTCCTCTAGACCAGTGCACAGCTCCTATTCCATTGTCTCAGATTACATCTCCACCAAACCCTGTCCCAAATCCACCTGTCCAAGACCCACTTTCACCTGGCCAAGGCCCAGTTCAAACCATCCAAGGCCAACTTCCACCTGCCCAAGGTCCAATTCAGCCCATCCAAGGCCCTCTTCCACTTGGCCAAGGCCCAGTTCTACCCATCCAAGGTGCGCTTCCACCTGGCCAAGGCCCAGTTCTACCAGTCCAAGGCCCACTTCCACCTGGCCAAGGCCCAGTTCTAACCGTCCAAGGCCCACTTCCACCTGGCCAAAGCCCAGTTCTACCCATCCAAGCCCCACTTCCACCTGGTCAAAGCCCAGTTCTACCCGTCCACACCCCACTTCCACCTGGCCAAGGCCCAGTTCTATCTGTCCAAGGCCCAGTTCCACCTTGCCAAGTTCCAGTTTCACCACTCAAAGGTGCAGTTCCACCTATCCACGTTCCAGTTCCACCAGCCCATGCTCCTGTACCACCAACTCAATCAAATGAGATACTTCCACCGCACTCACAGAGCTTAAATCTACAAGCCCATTTTCCTTCTGTGCCTCTTCACAATCTGGCCCCATCATCCCAGTCATCTTATCCTCCGACTCACATTCCATTTACCCAGTCCTACATTCCAGTACAATCAATGAAGTCTTCTGTTTCTCCAGTTTCAATTCCACAGACTAATGCTCCATCACCACTAGAGCAAATGCCAGTTACAACACCTCACTATCTGCCTGGCCCTCTTTGTTCATCTTCAGATCAGTTTTTTCCTCCACCTGATAATACATCAGATTTACTTCAGCCTTTGCCCCCCATGCCTTTCCACTCACCCATTGTGCTAACCCAGCAGGAGGCTGCATTAGAGCAACCTTCCATGATCCATTCACAATCATCTGGGCAACCTTTACAGCTTGCACCACTTCTTACCCCGAAAGAACAGCAAGCAGCAGCCTGCAACCAAGGTAATGTGTCTAAAAGAGGACCTACCGTGCCTATAGAAATACCCATTTCTACAGGTAGTAGCTTTGAGGAAACTATACAAAGGTTTCCCCCTTGCTCAAGTCCAACCATCAGTTGTGAGGGCAATGAATCCATCCCCATGGACATGCATGATGAAGACTCCATAGCAAATGATGCGAGTAGCAGTCCTGCACTAATGCCTGGAATGAGTGAACGTTTTAAGGTTCTTTCCAAGCCTGAGTCAAATTTCAGAGTGTTAGATTCTACAAAAGAACAACAACCCTTCAGACTGAACATGGTGAAAGGTCCACAGATAGGCAATGAAGTCAGCAAGCAGAATCAGACCAAAAGTGGAACAATAGGTCAAGTTTGGGAATCAGCTGATTCGTCTTGTGCATTACCACATTCAGCTTTGAGTGCTCCTGCACCAGATGTGGGCCGCGCGGTGCCGAAAGCTTCACGTAGAGTACTGGAGAAGAATACCGAGTGCTCTGAGTGCGGTAGGATTCTCAGCAATGCGTCTTCTTTGGAGAACCACATGAGGCTCCATAGGGGTGAGAGGCCTTATAACTGCTCCCAATGCGGAAAGGCCTTCCCCAGTGTCCGAGGCCTCAACCGCCATGTAAAAGTCCACGCAGAGGAGAAAGGTTACAAATGCGAGGAGTGTGGACGGAGTTTCGTTTACCAATTCACACTAACGAAACACAAACTCATCCACTCTGGAGATAGGCCCTTCCCTTGTAAAATATGTGGCAAGAAGTTCTTGGCCAAGACGGACCGGGCCACTCATATGCGCATGCATACAGGGGAGAAGCCGTTCTTCTGTGGTCAGTGTGGGAAGACATTCAAGCATAGAGTTGCACTGAACATGCATGTACAAGGACATAGAGGTGAGAAACGTTACGTGTGTCCACACTGTGAGAAAGGCTTTGTGGATTTGGGTAATTTTAAGAGACACAAACGCATCCACACGGGGGAGAAGCCATTTGAATGCAAAGAGTGTGGTAAGCGTTTTACTCAGTCAGCACACCTCAAGAAACATCTCAACACACAACATGCAGCATCAAAACCAAAATAGACACTTCAGTATGAGCCATGAGATAAATATTACACCAAATTGCTTGTGAGTACAAATGGTAACTCACTGTTGCTGATTAATTTTAGCTATTTCTTTCTAGCTATGCCAATTAGTGCACTGTTTCCCTTTTTAACTCATTGTGATTTTTTTACATGTTGCATAATGGTTCACATGCTATTGCCAAACAGAGACTTTAAACTTTTCACATTCACATGTTTACACTTTTCTGTAGTGATTTGAAGTATAACTGTATGATGGGCATTTTTTTAAAAAAAAGGTAATAGGTGACAAGATAACCAGTTTCATTCCAGAGAAGTCTTATATTGTTTATGTTTTTTATGAGAAAGTGGTTATTTATTATTCCTTTTTAACTGAATACCTAGGTTAAACCCTTAACAGCAACAACCCTTTAAGGTCCTCAGGTCGTCTGAAGAATTAACTGTGAAAATGGAAATCATTGTGATTTATTAATACAGAATATCGCTGCTGTCAGAACAAAATGTTATTTTTATTATTTATCTTTTTTTTGACGCAGTATGAAATTGCCAGCTGACACAATTGCCAAAATTTCAAGATGAATGGACCAAAAGAAATGCCCCAAAATGACTTGGAGTTAATAAATTCTACATTCTATTTCCAGTAAAAGTTAAGAATGTTTTCCCTCTCCTGTAAAGTTAACATTTTGGAGATATGAGGATTTGTTTCAACAGCAACGATATACTTTGAAGTTACTATGCAAATAATGCAGAAGAAAATGTGAATTTTTATTCTTTTTTAAACAGTAAGCTCTTGAATGTGTTTTTTGGAGCTATAGATGTTTATAGTGTTTCGTGATCTTCTGAAGTTTATAAACAAATGCAAATTCTTTGTAAATGTGGAAATACAATGTAAATGAAGTAGACTTTTCAATAACACCTGTGCACCATTTGAGAGGTTTTCTGGCCCATTCGCTCCCTGAATCATCATGCATTTCAACCATGATGAACACTATGAAGTCAAGGTTAATGACATGGTAAGCAGCAGAGTTTTTTTGTAGTGTACATCTTGACTATAAAAGAATTCTAATTTCATCTATCTATTAGCTAACTATTAGCTTACAGTGCTTACAGTGAGTACTGCTTTGTTGATTAGTGTGAAATGCTTTACTTTCAAAAAACAGAACTACAATACCCAAAAGCATTAAAACACAGGAGATGACGCTTTATCACATTTCCTCCTATGGTGTTACATGTGGTTGTCTCTAAAAAGGAACTGTTAGGAACAGCATCTTGCTGAAAACGCTAACAGCAGTCACAGTTTATTTACATGTGAGAGAACAGATTTCCCAGTTGTTCTGCTGAACTGGTTTGGATGAGAAGTATTACGGCATTGGATGTCCTTAAACAGAGATTAGACTTGGTCTTAGTTTTTAATTCAGTTATTAGAAGCCACCCTGCTTTAAAAAAGCCTTTTGTTCTTCTACATGCGGTAGGCCTTTCTATTTTTAGATTCCTTGACATGAAGAGCCTGACAGTTTTTTGCTTAAACACAATTGTGGACTATGTAACTATTTACAGCATCTGTATTTTTTTAAAAACACTCTATGCATTCTAATGAAACTCTTATATGAAATTTATTTCTCAAAGTAATGTAATGCAAATCTTTCTCTGCACTCTTATGCAGCTAACATAGCCTTGCAGTCAATTAAATTATTCCAACAACAAAATGAATTCTTTTTGGACCATTTCACATTGAATATCCATTTATAACAATTATGGATATAACGAGTTTTTGTAAAAAATAACAGCTGACATATTATGGAAAATATATTTTTTTGCTCTAATAAAGATGATATTAGTCATAACAGAGCATTAATATTACTTGTGTGTGTAAAGCCCACTCCCAACAATTTACATCAGGAAAAAATAAATTGGTCTATACTTCATTTTACAAAGAAACAACATTCCAGATGATGACTCATACAGTTCCATGCAGTTTAAAAACCATTACTAAATGTGGGGAATATCATGGAGGTGTAACATGCTTAAAACATGACGAACAAAATTTTAAGCAATAAAGTCTGTTATGTATGCGTCACTCTTCTTCTAAGTTATAGGCCTTGTTTCATTGTGCACTATGATTTACCAGCATGTTACATGCTGATATACAGTACTGTGCAAAAACCTTAGGCAGCCTTGAAAATAGTTTAAAACTCTTTATTTTAGCAGTAAGTGTGTTTTTGCCATTAAACCCCCTATATAATATTCCAATTGTTACAAATAAACATAAATACAATAAAAGTATCAAGAGTATCTTGTTTTCACACTTTTGCACAATACTACACTAAATGGCCACTTCATTCCTTTTATCTATACTCTTTATCCATTTTGTGAGCTCCTCTTGTCATATAGATGCACTTTGTAGTTCTATAGTTACAAACTGTAGACCATCTGTTTCTCAGCATGCTTTGCTCCCTTTCACCCCCTTCTTTAAAAATCAGGACCCCAAATGTATATTTATTTGTATTTTCATAGGGCCTTTGGCTCAAGGGGGCCCTAGACAACTGCTGCCTAGCCTTGCCTAGTACAAAGACCACCCTTGTGTGTCAATAATCAGTGCTGACCTTCAAGATTCTGACATTCTGTTACACGGCTCATATAATTGCAAGGGAAATGTGAGATAAACAGTAAGGTATTATATTAGAATTTAGCTTATGCTATTTAAAATTTGCTTCGGTTACATCTGGAGAGTGCTTTCTTAGGGCAGTGCTCTCTCAGGGCAGTGGTAGAACGTCCCGCAGTGTGTTCAGGCTTGAAAGCAGCAGACAGGCCCACAGCGGCAGAGACAGACTGAGGGAGACCCCTCCACTCCTCTCTACAGAGTAAGAGCATTTACCCACATTTCCTTCCTTATCCACAACAGACAGGGTTACATCAGGTGAGCAGCAGGAGGCGCTGTAGAGTCCCATCACCACAGTTATACCCCCATCCACCACTGCTTCCTGTGAGAAATTTCCTCTGCCCTGCTGGATGGAGATGTCTTCAATACCAGAGCCGTTGCCATCGGTGATGTTGACAGACAGGTCCCAGGTTGACTGGGTGCAATCAGAGGGGCAGATAGCACTTACACCCACAATTTCACACACTGGAGGAGTGAGATCAGTCACCTGTTTGGAATAAAGAAAGTGAAAATACATACTTATTTTCTACAGAGAACACACTGCATCTCAGTGTACAATTATTGTTTATTTGCTGAATTTAACAAATTGGAGAAAAAAAACTGAATCAATCACCAGAAATTGCTGAAAAAATGCCGTAGTTAAGTTTTCTGTAGAGGATGTATTTTTCACTTCAGTATAGCGTCATTTGACCGGGGCGTGTTCAAACTTTTGGTCCAAGCATTTTTACACCCCTAATCACTTATAATGTCACTAATCTAGTTCTTATGCACAGGAGTCTCTGAAAAATTGCTTTGGATGAATTTGTAGATGAATCAAAACTGTGTAGCTTTTCGTTATTTGTTCCAGTTTCCTCTGTTATGGTTTCTCGTGTTGTTCAGGCGCTTTGAGTCATTATGGTAGCAAGTGTAATTACCTTGGCGAGGACAGAAAGACGGAGCACAGCGTAGTTGGAATCTGCACCTCTTGGCCCTTCAGCTGCAATGGTCAGAGTGACATCAGTTCCCGACGCGGTGTTTGCAGGTGGCTTCAGAATCACTGCGCTTTCAGTACTGACCCCACTCACTAGATTCAGCCTGAAATCACAGAGAAGTGTTGTAGTTTGTTCTTTCACAGCACTTTGACCATAAACCTGCTGTTTCCTTTATAGTATTAGTTTAGTATCTTGGTGTATTGTTGTTGTCTAGCGCATGAAAACATTTTAAAATAGTTAATTTATAGTGTAGGCTTTTTGGGGTGTAATAATGTATCGTGACATTGTGATACACAATATGGCCAAAAGTATGTGGTCACCCCTACTGTTTATTGAGTTTTGGTGTTTCAGCCACACATTGCTAACAGGTCTATAAAATCATGCACATAGCCAGGCAATCTCTGTAGACAAACACTGGTAGTAGAGTGGGTCGTCTCGAAGAGCTCAGTGCCTTTAAACATGGCACCATCATAGGGTGCCACCTCTGCCACAACTGTCCTGGTCCACTGTAAGTGAAGGGCAATGTTAATGCTACACTTTGCAAAGATATTTTAGTAAATAATATGCAACAGTTTGGGGAAGACCCTTCACTGTTCCTGCATGACTGTGTCCCTGTGCACTAAGCAAGGTCCATAAAGACATGATTTAACGAGTTTGTTGTGGAGGAACACCAGTGGCCTGCACAGAGCCCTGACCTCAACCCTACTGACACCTTTGGGTTGAAGTCCTGACCTCATGAAGGCTCTTTCAACTGAATGGACAAATTCCCACAGACACCTGCCCAAATCGTTCCTGGAAGAGTGGAAACTCTTATAGTCTTATTTACTTTGTGTTGTAGGTAAGAGGAATGTTTCTGTCATTTCCAATAGTGATAGTGTAGGTGCCTCCGGTTCCATTGGTCATTACAATAAAAGGTAGTTTAAAGTCTTCTCCTGGCAGCAGGGTGCTGTTTACTGTAGCCTGCATGGAGAGAAGAGAATGACACATAGCAGAATTCTAGTGTTAAACTGATGGAAGCCTTAAAAGACCATTGATTCACACATGTATTTACTCATCAGATCTGAAGATATTTCATTATAATTTTAAAGATCTCAAGATAATGACACTTTGTTTTTCCATGATAACAACACAGTCTTTTCTGAAAGTATTAGAATGGCAAGGCCAATTCTTTTGTTTTTGCTAAACACTGAAGACAACTGGGTTTGAGATCAAAAGATAAACATTCATATATCAGAATGTCAGCTTTTATTTCCTGATATTTACATCTAGATGTGTAAAACAACTAAGAACATGATATCTTTTGTTTGAACCCACCCATTTTTCAGGTTAGTAAAAATACTGGAACATGTGATGGACAGGTTCCTTGTTGACCAGGTGTGCCTGTTTGATTGGTTGTTTAAACAATTAATATCTCTGAATGTCTACTCTTGGTTTCAGTCCTGGGTTTTGCCTGTGAAGACTGCATTTGTTGTTAAAAAGGATAAATCAGCATGAAGAGAGCTGCCTATGGGAGAAAAGCAAGCTGAGAGAAGAGGGAAAAAAGCTTGAGCCATTGCAGAAGCATTGAGCATAGCCAATACAACAATTTGTAATGACCTGAAAAGGAAAGAAACCACCAACCAGTACTAACAACCAGATAGGTCGACCAAGGAAAACAACAGCAGTTGATGACAGAAACGTTGTGAGAGCTGTGAAGAAAACCCCCCCCCCACCCCAAAAAAACCCAAAACAATAGGTGACATCACGAACAACCTCCACAGGGCAGGGGTGAAGATTTCACAATCCACTGTTCTGGAACAGAGTTTTATGGACTGATGAGACCAAGATTAACTTCTAACAAAAGTGATGGAAAGGCCATAGTATGGAGAAAGAAAGGATCTTCACATGATTCATATGAGCTCATCGGTCAAGCACAGTGGAGGTAGCGTCATGGCTTGGGTTTGCATGGCTGCTTCTGGAACAGGTTCACTAATCTTTAATGATGATGTAACTCATGATAGTAGGAGCAGAATGAATTCAGTCTACAGAAGCACTCTGTGTGCCAGTTACAGAGAAACACATCCAATCTAATTGGGAGGAATTTCATCATGCAGCAAGGCAATGACATGATATGGAACCAAATATTGAGTGTTATTTACTTTAGTTTACTTTAAAACTGTTCCTATACTTTTGCTTAGCTAAAAATTGGGTGGTCTGCTACCAAATGTGCCATGTTCTAATTTGTTTCATACATCTAGATATAAATATCAGGAAATAAAGCTGAAATTCTGATCTATCGTCTCATATTCTCCTTCTGATCTTGAAACCCAAATATCTTCAGTGTGTAGCAAAAACAAAAGAATTGGTCCTGTGATTCTTTACTGGTGCATAAAACTTAACATGCCATAGACCTACAGTTAGAGGTTAACTTTCTTTCATACTATATCTATTCTTAACTGTTCTGTTCTTAAATGTTCAGCTCTTTGTTACATTAGTTATAGACTACTATGGACCCACTATGTTGTTATCTTGAGAAAACATTTTGTGTTTTTTGAGATCTCAAAGTAATTCTATAATTTTCTTGGGAACACAAACTTTTGTTGTCCTGAGCAAACGAATACTCTTAAAAAGATGGGGCTTCAAGGGTTCTTTAGTAAATAAAATTGTTCATGGTTCTATATAGAACTCTCATACAACCCTTTACATGTTTAAAGGTTCTTCAGACTGATAGAGAATGTGCTGTAGATGGTTCTATATGGAACCTTTTTGAAATGGTTCTAGACAAAATGCAAAAGCGTTCTTCTATTGTTACAATATGAAACTTTCATAAACTTTCAGAAGAACCCTTTTTGCATGCTATATAGAACCCTTTTCAAAAATGTTCTATATAGAGCTGTCTATAGCACATTCATGCACATTTTCCATCAGTCTGAACAACCCTTTCATGATGCAAAGAACCCTTTAATTATGCCAATGGTTCTATGAATGTTCATGGTTCTACATAGAACTATTTTCTTTTCTAAAGAACCTTTGAAGAACCATGAATCTATGTTTTTAACGCATAATATCGTGCAACACAAGAGGCTTTGTGTACCGTGATGATGACATTAGACAGAGACATCTGCGTAGTACTCTGCCTTTGGAAGCGACTCGAGGTGGCCGTCTCTTCTCCTTTCATCATAACCACAAATTCTCCGTCTGGAACCTGACTCACAGTGACCAAGAAGTCCCCACCACCCATCTCCTGTATGACTCCGTCCACCACGCGGGATCCGGAAACCTCCACTAGAGCGACCTCCTGCACCTTCAGAGCCTCTGCCCCCTTCTGCCCAGTTACTGTTAGCAACAGCTTAGCAGGTAGGCCTGAGGTACCAAAGGAAAGAAGGTTGTGGTGAGACGTCATATCAGTAGTCATATGTCATATAGTCAGAAGTCATATTTCTATCACTGTTTTTTCATTATTCCTTTTCATGATTCATTGTTTCATTACTCTGTAGAATTCCTCACTCTTAAAACTGCCCAACTAATGTTTTAATGTCAAAGTAGTTACAGAATATGATAGAAGTTGCTGAATGAGTCTTGAAGTGAAGAACTGGATACAGCCTATAGCTGAAGGGATTAAAATGGCTATGTTTTGCCACCAGCACAATTACAAATACATTTTTATGCAAAGGTTTGATCTCCCTTGGTCAAATTACATGTTTTGTAAAAATAAGTTAATACATCCTCTACAGAGAACACACTTCTGCACATTTGAATGCACAACTACTGTTGATTTACTGAATGTAACATAGTGGAAAAAAATTAAACTGAAAAATATGCCCATTTTATATGTTTTGCTTTATTTTTATGCTAAATTCAGCCAATAAATAGAAATTGTGCGCTACAGTTAGTAGAGGTTTGTTCCCTGTACAGGATATTAATTTATTTTCACTTAGAAAACCAACAAAGCATGTAATTTAACTATGAAGTTCAAACTTTTGCATATGGCTGTATATATGACTGACAGAAAACCAAAAGAAAAAGAAAAAATTTGGAAAAGGGGCCAAGAAACAGAACAGAGACATGTGGTAGTTTGTCAGCAGAGGGCAGTGCTGTGCACAGTGGTCTAGGATTTCTCTTCAGAGGTGATTTAGTTGGTTCTTAAGCAGCAGTTGATGTGATGACTATTCCAACCTGTCTGTGGCCGACCGTAAATAGCAGCATATCCTGGATGAGGCCCTTTAAAATCCTCCACAAAGTTATAAATGAACGTAATGGCACTTTGACCTGAAACACACACACACACACGTATAAGCATAAATGTGTTTTGCACACATTAAATGGTCAAACATACACAAATACTTTATGCCTGTCTTTGCCTAATGTAAAAAGTTTCAAAGCACTGGTTCAGTTACAGTTAGCTAGCAAGTTTAAGTGACATAAAGTTTATCCTATTTGACAAGTTCCTGTTTTGAGACATATATATCCTGTAGTAGCTCTGGGATGAAGCCCACCGGTGACTTTAACGGTGTAGGCCTGTGTGGACACTATGCTGATGTTCCACAGGCCTGTTTCTACAGGAGAGTTGAGCTTAACCCTCCACAGGTTCCCCACAGTCTGAATCACAGCCAGAGACCCTTTACCAGCACTGTCAGGTTGAGATACACCTGAAAAACACAAGCAGTTAATGTCAGGTTAGAGCTGTTTCTGACTAATGTTTAGAAGTCATAGTAATCAATAGCATTAACAAAAGCATGGCAGCACCTTATCATACAAGCCATTATAGTTAACTGTTAAACGTATCATTTATTTCAATTAACTAGTGTACTGGTTTTATTGCATTTATTTATTAATTTATTTGAAAAAAGTCAGGCACATACATATCTACCTATGCCTATTGAGGTTCCTCCCAGAGTTGCTGCTAATATATATGATTAATAATGGTGCTAATATGTATGATTCATCAAATAACTGTGAAATTCATGTCTGGAAATAAATGGAAGTACGGTCATCTCCATCTATCAACACACTGCACAGCCGTAGAAATGACGGTGACCAGCGGCAAGTTAATTTTGAGTTTGCCAGCATTACCCAGCACTGTCATGTCTTCATTAGCTGGTGATGGGCTGTTTATTAAGGTTATTGCCTTTCTTGGTTATTTAAATAAAGATGATAAAAATTTGGCATTATAGTTGCGTTGCTTGAAAGGAGGTCAAAATACTCGATATAGCCTTCATCTCAATAGAGCACACCTTTTTTCAGATATTTTACTATTTAAAAGAACAGTATACATGCATGTACCAGTTGATTATTACATAACATTTCTACAGTATTTTATATTTTGTTGGTTATACTGTCTCTGTTTGGCAAAGAAAATGCGTTTTCCAAGATACTGTCTGTTGTACACAGGTAAACCGTATGGGTTGACACCTTTGAATACCTTACTCTGTATTCAGTAGCATGTCATGGGTTGCCTGTCATATTTTACACAGCAGTTTTGTGCCATATTCTTGACATGACGCATATACATATACATTTGGTTACTCCAACCCAAAATGCCTGTCCAGGGAGTTCCAGGTCCTATTTGAGGCCCTCACCTGATGGGCTATGCAGAGTGAATTTAAGTGAATCTCCTGTGATGTAGACAGTGACATTGGACACTGATGCGTCCAGCAGGAAGGGGAAACTTTCCACACGGCCTGGGTTCCTGGCCTTCTGCAGAATCGTCACCTGAGATACAGTCATCACAAAGAATATCAGTGCTTTACACATTTGCTTAAAAGCTTAAAATGATGAGGATCATTATGGATCATTTATGCATTTGTAATCAAATATTTTAAAAATCTTCCTACCAGAGCGGATGTGGAGGTATCAACGATGATGTCAGTGGCGCTGGGCAGGTCGGCCTTGGATACCTTTATTGCTTGACCTCCGGAAGCCAAAGCCAAGTCATAATACAGCTGGAAAACTGAGCGTGCCTGTGGGCTCACTGATCTTGCTGATCTCGTCTTTTGTGTCAGGAAGTAGGACACCTGAGTGTAGCAGGGAAGGGGAATTGGGGAGAGTGGAGCAGACGATCAGAGAAATGCCAAGGAAAGGAGGAAATGTGAAAAGAGTTGAGTACAGTTGAGTACAACTATAGAAAAGGACTGATGAAAAGTTATACTGATGGTGATGCTTATATAAACTCCTACCAATGTTTTCAGACAACCATTTTCTATTTTCTGCAATTAATATTCCTCAAACCTGGGTTTTACCAGTTTTTATTTTGTACAACACAACCATTGTTGTTTTTCTGTTTTTTTTTTTAAGGAGAAGACAACATGAGCAAAAAGCAACAAGTGTTCATTCTCTTTTTAAAACTTCTAGCAGCTTAGTCTTCATTTAGGGTGTGAAGTTTGAGACGCTTACTGTAGACTTGGTGCTACGGATGAGGGCGGTGATGGTTTTTTCTAAGTGTGTGTCTTTAGCCGGAGCATCAGTAAAAACGTAGATGTGAGAGGAGGCCGGAGCTCCAGTCAGAGCCAGCTGAGACAGATATAGAGTGAGAGAGAGAGAGTTAAGGAGTTAAAGAGAGACAGATTGTGCAATAAGACGTCCTGACAGGTATGATATGCCAACATTCCAGAGCGTAGAGGAACCGGCTCCGTCATTTTCATCATCTCCTCTATCAGAGTTTATCAGTGGCCGTTCTGAGTACCTGCAGTCCTGAGAGACACATCTCTGGCACATCCCCACCCCCACTCGCACCAAGCTTAGAAATCTCTGCCTTCATCACATCTGGGTCAGTTGTTCTTATAAGTGGTCCAAAAGCTACAAATAAACACAAACAATTGTCAGTTTAAAAATGTATCAGATTTTAATGCAGTGATTCAAATGCATCAGATTTGGAATGTTACAGTTGATCATAATTCATTACAGAAAAGTTCACCACATTATTTACTTATTCTACTACTGGGTAAATAGATCTTACAGTCATGTTTAATCAGTGCATAATATAATTCTGTACCAAAATAATCCAATATTAGTAAGAATGAGTAGGAATATTAGTAATCATGTAATCAATTAATCAAATAATCAGCCCCAAAAAATAAAAAAATGAGCTTAACTGTGTGTGTGTGTTTCTGGCTAAAAAGCATATAAATCATGCTCTATAAATGTTTTAGAAGTATATTAGTATTATAAGTAAGTTTTAATACCAATTTGAGAAATTGTGAAATATTTAAACAAATATTTAAAATATTTGCTGTGCAAAATGTAAATAAAAACAAAATGCAGTGATGTGCAAATCAGTTGAACCCTATATTTAATTGAAAATAGTACAAAGTCAACAAATCAAATGTAGAAACTGAGAAATTTTTATTGTTTTTTGAAAAATATATGCCCATTTTGAATTTGATGCCAACAACATGTTTCAAAACAGTTGGGATGGGGGCATGTTTACCACTGTGTTTCATCACCTCTTCTTTTAACAAAACTCTGTAAGTGTTTGGGAACTGAGGAGACCAATTGCTGTGGTTTTGAAAGTGAAATGTTTTCCCGTTCTTGTTTGATATAGGATTTCAGCTGCTCATCAATTTTCATTTCATCATATTTTTCATTTCATAATGCACCAGATGTTTTCAGTGGTGACAGGTCTGGACTGCAGGCAGGCCAGTTTAGCACCTGGGTTCTTTTAATACAGAGCCATGCTGTTGCAATACATGCAGAATGTAGTTTGGCATGGTCTTGCTGAAATAAGCAAGGCCTTCCCTGAAAAAGACGTCATCTGGATGGCAGCATATGTTGCCAAAACACGTATATATCGTTCAGCATTAATGGTGCCTTCACAGATGTGCCAGTCACCCATGCCATGTGCACTAATGCACCCCTGTACCATCATGAATTCTGGCTTTTGAACTGTGCACTGATAACAAGCTGAGTGGTCTTTAGCCCAGAGGACGCAGTGTCCATGATTTCCAAAAAGAATTTCAAATGTTGACTCGTCGGACCACAGGACACTTTTCCACTTCCCCTCAGTCCTTTTTAAATGAGCTCGGGCCCAGAGAAGGTGGCAGTATTTCTGGATCCTGTTTAAGTACAGTTTCTTCTTTGCATTTTAAAATTTTTAACTTGCATTTGGGGATGCAGCAACAAACAGTTTTCATAGACAGTGTTTTTCATAAGTGTTTCTGAGCCCATTCAGTGATTTCCACTACAGAATAATGTTTGTCTTTAATGCAGTGCCACCTGAGGTCCCAAAGATCACGGCCAGCAAATACTGTTTTTTGGCCTTGTCTCTTGCATACAAAGATTTCTCCAGGTTCTCTGAATCTTTTAAGGTCATTATGTACTGTAGAGGATGAAAAGCAAAAGTTCTTTGTTGTTTTATGTTTAGACATGTTATTCTTGAACTGTTGCACTATTTGCTCCTGTTGTCTTTCTCAGAGTGGTGAACCCCTCCTCATCTTCACTTCTGAAAGACTATTTTTATACCCAATCATGTTACTGACATGTTGCCAATTAACCACCAGGTGTGTTTTTTAGCATGACACAACTTTGCCAGCCATTTGTTGTCCCCCGTCCCAACTTTTTTGGAACATGTTGTTGGCATCAAATTCAAAATGGGCATAATTTTTCAAAAAACAATACAATTTCAAAAAATGTTTCAACATTTGTTGTCTTTGTATTATTTTCAATTAAATATAGGGTTTAAATGATTTGCACATCATTGCATTTTGTTTTCATTTACATTTTGCACAGCATCCCAACTTTTTTGGAAATGGAGTTGTACTTCCCATACAGGGTTTACAATTACTTCGGCCAGCTCTGTTTAAACATGGATATTTCATGCGTTTTAAACATGTAACATGTAGCAGACATTTATGCGTTTTTTTTTATATGTATATATATATATATATATATATATATATATATATATATATACATATATAACACATAAATGTATATATTTATATATATACACAGTTTATAACTACAAACATATGTACTTTCGTGAGATCCTGCTGGTGTTGTTCTACTCTATTTTGGTGATGCACACAAACATGACTTAAACATGAGTGATAATAACTCCCCCCTCCCCCTTGTGGAGAATCTGCTGAACACTGTTTTTTAATGACCTACATATACTCTGACCATACTCTGTTACAGATCAGTTGACCACTAAAGATTATTTAGCTCAGTTGTTATAAATGTGTCCTCTGAGACAGTGGTTCTCAACCCTGAGTTCTCCTGTCCTGCACATTTTAGTGATTTCCCTGTTCACACTCATTTTGAATCAGGAAGGTGTTAATTAGCTGATTAGTTGAATGATGCATATTAAAACAGGGAAAACACCAAAATGTGGATGCCAGTGGTTATCTAGGACCAAGGTTGGAAACCACAGGCTTAAATCCAGGTCATAGTCTTAAATCCAGGTCACAGTGACAGTCTTAAAGAAAGGGAGAAGGAAGTCTTGCTTAAGCTTAAGTTGCATTCTTGTCACATTTGTGCGGAATAATGTGAATAATACACTGTTGTGCAAAGTCTCAGGAAGTGAGGTGACTTACTTGGATCGTTGAATGGGACCAGGATGTATTCTGAAGGTTCATCTTGGGTTCCTTTCTTACTGTCAATGATGTTATATGCGACTCGTTTAGCCTCGGCGATGTCATCAGCCATGCTGCCTGTTGTGTCAATCACAAAGCAAAGAACAGCAGAGCGAGCGATACCCATCAGCCTGTAGAGAGAAAGAGAGAGATGGAGAGAAATGGAAGGGATGCTACTCAGTTATTACAGTTTTCTGAGTTACGTAGATGTACTTCCCAAAGCTCTAAACTCATTCTCGAAATAGTGCCTCAAATCCCCTCAACACTATTGCACCACAATCCTCATCTAACTATGAAATGTCAATCACAACAAACTGTAATCTTATCACCCGGCTATGCACATTTCCCACTCACATCTCACGTCAACACAGTTGTTTATTGTGTAAATCCTTGCATGCAAAATACTATGTGCAACAAGCATGTATTTTGTTTGCAGTGTTGAGGTAGTTTCTCAAAAACACAATCCACTACAAATTACTAATTACTTCTCTCCAATTATAATGGGATTATATTACATATTACTACAGGAAAAGCAATCTCACTAATTTTTACATTACTTCAACATTACTCTGTTTAACGCTTACAAATCTATGCCATCTGTGCAAAGGAAATCTGTCAATTTATTTCAAAAGAAACAGACAGTTAAAGTAAACATCATTTAAAGGCCTGTTACTATCCCTGCCTCTGCCAGTAATACTGATTAAAATAATGAACAGCTGATGCGATTCGTAAACCAAGAAATTAGTCAGTAGAAGCAGTTCAAGAACAGTTTACAGAGCTGTTTCTGAATGAAAATCAAGTCTGGCCTGTGTAAGTGAGGCTGGGGCTCACTCTTCTTTATCCATCAGTTTCATATTAGTCTTTTATGCCAACAAGCATTTTTAGTAATGAGTTCTCTTTATCAATACTTCTCACACAACTTGCACATCACTCTGTCCAAATTATGAAGTTTTTTTCTTGTTTGAATAGAAAATGCATTCAGTGACCACAATTTCCAAAATTCAAATTCATATTCACTTCTCACTCAGTCAACACTCAACAAAACTATGCATATCTGTAACTCAGTTGTCAAATGCTTGCAGACATTATTACAAACTGTTACACTGAACTCCAAAACATAACATGAAAATAAACTGCAAATCAATTTACTAAGTACTATATTAGGCATGATTCTGCTGACTGTGTATATGTAAATAGACCAATCACAGCTGGTTCCTGTCTGAGTTGCAGCCCTACCCTGGTGTTGACCATCTATGAAACTGGGTCATGTCTGGAGTTATTTTGTTCAAGATGTTCAGTCCATTATGGGCCCAGCACATAATCTATTATTTTCTATCAAATATATCATTCTGTTTTGAAACATTTTTCTGGTGTAATGAACTTTTGGAAACAAAATTAAACTTGGTTTACAACTCAACAAATAATAATAAACTAAACACACTAATAAACAAAACAACAGAGAAAAAAGTCCTACTTTAAGGATTTACATAAAATAGTTCATCCACTTTAATGCCAACAGGTGTTAATGTTTCTTAGGTGACTGTGCTGTGATTGACAAAGTGTTCTTATTGACAGCATTAGCATTGATGTTCTGATAGAATGAGTCTATTTTAATGCATTTTCCATTGTTTTATTGTTGTAGTGTTTTTGTTGCTGTAAAAAATTAACTGTGGTGCTGAACTACGTGTTTCTGTAGAGAGGTGTGTGAAGAGTTTTTAAAAAGTGAACTTGGTTTGAAAAATGCTTACTGATTGTATAAAACTGTAAAGAGATTGTGTCTATAGCTGTACAGCAATGATATATAGTTCTAAGGTTTGAGGTCAGGAAGCAGATTACTTAGAATATTCATTCAGTCACTATAGCCTTTATTCTTCATGTTGTGTATGGTCAAATCTGTAAAATGAGCACACACAAATTTCACCAACAATTCATCAATTTCATCTTTGGCAAATCTTTTATGATCAAACTCACATCTAGGAGTGTGTGTAAATTTGAGTGTAATTGTCTAACAACTTGAAAATTGATTTGCAGTTAATAGTTTGCAATATTATAATTAGTAACACCTATAATACCAATAACAATAAAACTAAGACCAATAAGAATAGAAATGGTTCTTTTGTTTTGCTATCTGGTGTCGACCAGAGGAGGATGTGTTCCCCTTTTGAGTCTTGGTTCCTCTCAAGGTTTCTTCCTCTTCCTCTTACTCTGTTTAAGTAGTTATATTGTATAGGTATATGTATTGTGTATATGTTCTCTGCATTGTAGTCAGGCCGTGAACGTTCATGTGTTTTTGGAGAGCGGCTTTGAAAGGAGGGCTAAAAGTTGGAGGTGAGATTTTTTGGTTGGATTTTTTCAAGAACTGGTGTGCTTGTGTGCATCTCGACCTCACCGTTAGGCTTGTTGGCAGAAAACAGGCCCATATGTCCTGACTTGTGTTCCTTCTCATTCACAATGGAGTGCAGCAGTGGGCTGGGACACGGGTTCACGCTAACTGATTTTGTGTGTTGTGATGTGTGTGGCTATTATATGGAGTGATTCATTTGCACAGGTGATACGTTGTTGAGGCAAATGTTTTTACAGTTTTGAGAACCACAACACTAGAGTATTGAGAAAGTGATCGATGTTTCAAGAAATGCATCTAAGCGATTGAGAAAAACTGTGATCTTGGCTGGCGTCATATGGTGAAACTTCCACACACCTCTAGTTGCTTGAAACTTACTGGAAACTAAATGTCACTTTTGTTGCATAATGCATTGCAAAGGCTCAACCATGTCAACCTTGTGAAGCAAGTTTCATGAAACTGCCAATTAAAAAAACAATATTGTACCATGTGATGATATTTACTGGCACAAAGAGATGCCCACATACCACTTTGTCTTTTCTGATACCAATGCCAATAATGAAATGTATCACCTGATACTGATAACAAGCAAATACAGTATTTTCTTAATTGAAGCACTTCACTTAACCCCGTACATGGCCAGGGCCCACTGGCAGGCCCAAAGTTTTGTTACACACTTCTATGACCTAAGAATAGCTCAACCACTTTGCGCTGAAGTCCCTGTAGTTACTGAATAATACATCTTAGTATGTAATTAGCCTGCGATTTTAAAGGGTTAACTTAGAAAAAGTGCACACACACACACACACACACACACACACACACACACACACACACACACACACACACAGTTACATACCTTAGGTACTCCTTATTGCCGGCTGCCCCACGGATGTCCTCCAGCAACTCGAGCGAGGCCTCCGTTGCCAGGGCGACAGCAGTGTCATGGAAGCCCGCATTATGGGCCCTCCGCTCATCTTTACTGATCCCACCTCGAGGATTCTGGGTACTGCTGAGGTCAGCACCCCCGCCATGACTGCATTTACCTGAAACGACCCATACAGAGAGTGGTCAAATGCAGTGTTTAGGGTAACACAGTACAAAGCAACGCGGGACAGTAATGTAATTACTTTTTCCCTCTTATAAAATAGTGTAATGCATTACAGTTTAAAATCATGTAATCACATTACAATTACTGACTTAATAGAATTTCATTACTTCGTTGAGTCGTTTTATTACATTCGTATGAGTCGTTACTCATACCATTACTTTTCAATACTCATATGTCTACAAGACAACAATATTAATTACATGCAATGCATTTCAACATAATTTTCCTCTATACAGATGATCTGTGCTCGTCCTTATATGTAATTAGTGTGTGTGCCACCTGAGTCAGCTGACTGTTGACTCTGATTATGAATTTGACCAGATTTTCAGTCAGAAACAGCTCTGTAAGCTTAACATTTATCCTTAAAGATTTTACCGTGAGGCACCTGTTTTTGAACTGTTTCTACTGGCTAGTTTTGAGGTTTTCAATTTTTTTCAAATTTTTTTGCTTACCACTCTAATGAACATATGAAGGGTTTCATATCATG